TCTGGGACGACGGTGACACGGCCACTCTTGAAGCGTTTCAGTCGGAGAGGTGGCATGGAGGGGGCACGGTGAATATGGTTGACGATGACGACTGATTCTCAAATGTATAACGAACGTTGTTTGTAGGCGTTGTCTCAAAATGCAAAACCCAGCAAGAAGGTCAAAGTCTGCGAATGTCGTAGTGAACGGGGGCTAGACACGGGCCGGGAGCATTAGTGAACCGATGTCGCAGGTGGCTCTTAAGCATAGTTGTATGGCTTGTCAGAACATTAAAGAGGTTGTATCCGCTAGCAGACGTAGTCAGGTATTGCTCCGACGACTGGCGTGCGAGACCCGCTGCTGAGGCAGGGCAGACGAGCACGTAAGAGTGAACGCGGGGGCCAAAGGAAGAAGGGAAGCAGGGGAGGAAGTCGTGGAGGCCAGGTGTATTGGCCGCGAACAGCAGTCGACGGCGTGTCGCTGGCGCCAGGCACGCTGGATGGATATTCGGAAATATAGCGTTACTGTCATGGCGAGCGTTGGTGGGGTTTCGTAGGAAGTTTCCTGACGGCCATTGCTACCGTTACGCTCGCTAGGCCGTATCGGGACCGCAAATCTTGCCCTAAGCGTTCGTGATGGGACTTCGGTGGACAATCTGCCGCGGTATGATTCAACCAGATTGTACGCGTTATGCGGTGGTGGCGATCATCGCACAGTCCCTCGCACGTGTTCTGTTGTGAGTAGCAAGCAGGACTGCACGCGGCGTTGAGCTGACGAGGCCTCGGGATGTTGGAGTGAGCGGGAAGCACGTGCCTCCCGCTGCCTCTGGCGCCAAGTCTCAACCAGATCAGATCCGAGCAGGCAAGCTTGCGCGCGCAATGTCCAATGGCATCCAACCTCACTTGTGGATATTAATTGTTTTTTCCTTAAAAGATCGTGTTGTTATTAGATATTTACGTAGCGTACTTCCGGGCTTCTTGCATAACGAGGACTCGAGGATCGCGGGATTAGCTGATGGTAGGGAGCTAGGTGCCCTGCTGCACTACCTTGATGTAACCATCACCTCCCTCATGGCTCTGATCGGAATAACGATCCCGAATGTGGACTGGAGGACTTCCAAGAATCCATTGGAACATCGTATTCGACGGATTGTGGGTCGAGAACGAATGTGTGGCAATGTTCGCTTTTGCTGACCTCGGTCCGGTCTAATCACAGATTGTTGTGAGATTTGCTAGTCTGGAAGGGTCGATTAGCGATCAGGAGTGGTATCTCGTATTGCTTTCATGCAGTATGTAGGGCGAAGGATTTGCTCCTCGGAGCTCTTGGTCCTCTGGAGCAGATACGTGACGATTCATGCTGGCTGGACGGGTCGTTCGATGCTGACAATGTTCTGCATATTGCACTGGTGCTTAGATTGTTCAGATATCAGGCTACCAGGCCTATCGATTATGGTTGGATACTGGCGGCATAAAACAGCTGTTGTGTACCAGACAGTAACTTTACAGTACTACGTTGCATACCCTTGCACGACACATACAGTGATTGTAAGGATATTCTTTCATTAGGAATATAGCTAAGCTGCTGTGCCGTAGCACCGCTGGCTGCGTCAAATTAATCCGCATGCTGTGCCACGGAACATGTGACCCACGGTGTCATGTAGAGACCTGTAAATGACCGCCTAAGTTTAAATGTCAGGAAATCAAGCTCCTTAACTCTGGCCCGCTAATGCAACTCCACTTGAGGTATCATAAACAAGCAAATACAAGTAAACCAATCCCCGTCATTACTTATAAAGTTTCAATCGTGAGTGTCCTTCAATGATTGGACTAGACCTTCTCAGCATCGCTATGCGCTGTGTGGACGATCGCCTTGGGAGCGACTTCCGCGATCGTCTCGTCGGTAAAAGCGACATCCTTCTCAATGGCGACAGTGTCTTCGACTTTCCAGAGAATTACGGGAAGAGCAATAATCAGACTGCCGGCAAGCAATCCCCAGTTGCTGGCAAACATTGTCATGTAGGCGACCTTAGTGTCGTCCATACGCCATGTAATGGCACCTCCAGCAGACTGGATACCCTTGTAGAAACCAGCAAAGTTGGCGAGCTTACGACTATTGTTTGTCAGGGCGCCCATGAACCTAGTTCTGTTAGCGATCTGATCTGAATGTATCAACTCTTGTTTCAAACTTACCAGTAGACTGAGGTTTGCCAAGCGGCATCGGAGAAGCCATAAAACATGTAGAGAACGAAGGGACCAGCGTAACCTGCGTCAGACCAGTCCTTCTTTTCGTTTGTCTCGTCTTCTGCCCAGGCACGGTCGTAGGTCTTCTGGAACATGTAACCGAAACCCCAGATGATCATGATGGTCGCGAAGAGTACAGCCCATACGGCCTTAGCACGGGTTGTGCGGCGGATACCCTTGATGTCCAGCGCATATCCAAAGACGTAGGCGCCGACAATCTGCATGATGTAGTAGACAACACCATTGAGCGCGCGGGTGCGGACGTTGAAGTATGCAGCATTGATCTCGGTGAAGTGGTACGCGTAGAACCAGTTAGATGCGAGGAACATGGGGAATAGAAGGATAATGTAAGGGTCGGTGAAGAAGGTTTGGTAAAGACCAACGATCTCCGACTTCCAAGAAGGGTGTTTCATGACGATAACCTTTGATCCATCGTCACGAATGACGTCTTTCGCGTCGACCAGAGTCCAAGCGAGAGCGGCACCGAGGATGGTGAGGACAAGGAAGCCGATGTAGGTACCGTCGTTGACTGTACCGGCAGTCTTGGTGTGAATATTCTGACCCAATGGGATCTAGGAGAGTTAGTACTTGATAGGTAGCTATCTCTTAGTGTTCTCAAGGGTAGGATAGCGTACCAGACTACCAATGACAGCACCCAAGTTGAAGATCATCCAGAACCATGAGATGTAACGGCCCTTCGAGTCTTCTGGTGGGTAACTACGATGCTGTTAGTACACACCGAGAGAGATGTTTAGGGCTGACGTACGACATCATTATGGCTCCCTGCGCACACCAAAGCAGACCAGCGCATACTCCAAGTAGTGCACCAGCGAATGTGGTGAAGCCCAGATTCTGCGTGTGGTTGTAGCATAGGTAAGAGGCAACATAGACGGAGTATCCGACGCCGCCAAAAGACAGAGAGGTGCGGATGCCAAGCTTGTTCGTAAAGGTGCCGGCAAAGAAGCCGACAACAGCAAAGGTCGAGTACAATGCCGTGTTGGCCCGGTTGTTCGCGGTTGCGTCAAGTTGGCCACCACCACCCATGCCATTCAGAGCATTGAACATGCCCGGACACATGAAGCAAACGAAAGAAACAATGACCAGTTGGACAGGTGGTGATGCAAACCATGGCAACTTGAAACCGGCGACGGTAAAGCGCTTGTATTTCCACGAAGGTGGGAGATCAAGCGTGTTGGTATCCGTCAACGAGTTCTCCGGAGAGTTGACATCGTGTGGAGGCTGTTTTTCCTCGGTGGTCGCCATGATGATGCCCAGGCGATGATGGGTTGTGGGCGTTTAGCGCGTGAATCGGAATTGACAGACGGTAAAAGCACGTCGTCGATGGTGTGGAAGATGTGAGCAGGCAGGACACAATAAAGATACTAGATGTTCGCGCTCAGACCAGGCAAGATACGATGATGGCAAGCTATAATTAAACGAGCTTTGGATGGGGTGAAGGCGAGGGGCACTTGGTTTTAAGCATCTGGTCAGCTAGGGTCTTCACACGGTCCATTCACGACCAAATCTCCCCCAGCCAACCTGCATCGGGGTAGCGAGGCGGGCAATAGCACGCGACACCCTCTGGCTTCAGGAGATAAACGACTGCAAGCCCACAAGTGACAGCCGTCGGTGAAGGATTCATTGGCGTCGTTGGCACTGCCCAGGCAAACGCCAGCAATCAGCCGTATCCGCACCCCAAGGCCGTACTACGATGCAGTAAGCAGCAGCAGAGCAACGGCTACAGGTGTCCGGGTCGCGGTTGTCAGTGGTTCTCGGGACAGCCTTCGGGGGTCAAAGCGGGGCGTCGGAAGCCTGCTTATCGACGATGCATGGATCTGCATGCGTCTGGGACCACACTGTTGGTTGATGAATCGCCGGCCCCCAGCACAGGGCTGTGAGCTAGAACACGCCGGACTGCAGCCACAAGTGCAACGCTCTCCGCCCGCCACCCCGAGTCAGAAATGTAACATCGTCTTCCTGCGACTCCATCAGCACGTCGGCCTTATCAATTACGCTCGCTATCGTGATGTTCGTTGCTGGCTGCCCGTGACGGCTAGTACGCGACCCATTTTCGATCAGGTTTCCACTGCTATCACGGCCGATGAGGATGACCATGCTCCTCCTGCCATGCTCCTGTAACATTGCACATGGTAGCAGCCCCTCAGCTGGTGCAGATAGGCGCGTTGTAACACCACGTTCACCTCCAACTGTCCATCGCATGACGCATCGTGAGCAAGCGGGCCGATACAAAGAACTCCTTGGAGAACGTGTTCAGATGCGGCAAGTCTGGCCGTTGTCCATGTTGACCAAGAGACCTTGGACGATGATCGAGCTTGCAATACTACCTTGACCCAGAGTGACGTGAAGCTGCTGAAACTCTCATAACAACCATCGCCAGCCCGCTGTGGAAAGTGACTTCTAACCCCTCACTTGGCACAGAACGCTCGCAGTGGCACAGACAGACATCATGTATGAGCATGCAATCCTTTGAAGTCTAACCCTTTGCTTACCGCTTGTAGGCGGCTAATTATCAGAGACGACCCCAAATCTGCATCCCAATACATCGCCGACTATGTCATTGGTGCATCTCTTGCTCCCTTGTCATGTTTCGTTATCAGCTAACGCCTCAGCATAGAGCGCATTAAGGCCTTCAACCCTACACCTGAGAAACCCTTCGTGTTAGGGTTGCCCACTGGCAGCAGTCCCGTCTTAATCTACGAGCATCTTGTCCAGCGCCACAAAGCGGGACAAGTCTCGTTCCGCAATGTGGTCACATTTAACATGGTATGAAGGGCCGCTCTGCATGTGCCGTAGTACCCTAGTTCCCAGTGTAGCACGGCAGCGTGATGTTGAGCGGTGCTGACCTAACCAGGACGAGTATGTCGGCATCCCACGAGACCATGCCGAAAGCTATCACAGCTTTATGTACAAGCACTTCTTCTCACATGTTGACGTGAAACCTGACAACATCAACATCCTCGACGGCAACGCGCCCGACCTAGAAGCTGAATGCCATGAGTATGAAGAGAAGATACAGCGTGCGGGTGGTATCGAGCTGTTTTTAGGCGGCATCGGACCAGATGGGCACATTGCCTTCAACGAGCCAGGCTCCAGCCTGAAGTCTCGAACTCGTGTGAAGACACTGGCGTACGACACCATTCTGGCCAACTCAAGGTTCTTCGGGAACAATCTGGATCAAGTGCCGAGAATGGCATTGACAGTTGGAGTTCAGACGGTGCTGGATGTAAGTCACATCACCGTGCACCTTGGCAAAGTCTCACAGACGTCAGGCACGCGAAGTCGTTATTATAATAACGGGTGCGCACAAGGCTCTAGCCCTTCAAAGGTGCATCGAAGGTGGTGTGAATCACATGTGGACACTGTCTAGTCTGCAGATGCACCCCCACCCAATGATTGTGGTTGACGAGGACGCCACCTTGGAGCTGCATGTCAAGACAGTCAAGGTACTTGCATCAATACACATGTTAGCTGACCCGACGTTGACACTCGACAGTATTTCAAGAGCATCGAGATGGTAGGAGACGAACTGGGGATGCGCCAGAAGCTCCCTAGAAAGCGCGACTCGCTTGTGGACGAGGGTACCTTGCTAGCCCCTGACCAAGAGAACGGTATCAGGTTGACTGTGCCGCAACTTGATCTCTCCCGTTCAGCAAGTCCAGTCCTGGAACCAATGAGCGCCCGCATCAACGACGAGGAAGCAAGTGCATTGCGTCCCGTGGACGTGGATATGGATGAGGTCGCAGATCAACCTTCGGTCCGAATGAGCGCTCGCGTCGCCAACTAGCCTCAGCCTACGTTTCGAGCGTACAGGCACCGGAGATTGTCAGGAAGCCGTTGGAAGTGTTGCCATGTTTGCTTTTGGGAAACGCCTAGACAGATTGGTCCCTGAGTCAGAATCGGATAGTTGAATGCGATGTGTTGACCTGTTAGAAGTATATGCCGTTGGAAGGTACGATGGGAATTGAACAAGGAAACATGATACCAACAATAACAACGTAGAACGGAGGCATCACATGTCGGCCGCTATGCTTTTTCGTCCTCATCTGTGTCGAAATGTTACGTTGTGAAAACGTCGGGAATGTTGTGCTTGGTGGCAGGCTCTAGAACGTCATTGGCGGCGGGCGGGCGCGCGTCATCCTGGTTCCGATCCCCTCCTCGTACCAAAAGAATCCCGCCGCATCCTCCATGTGAAAGTCGACGCGCCGGTAACCATGTCTTTCGTGGTTGAGTAAGTCGAGCAATTGGAGCGGCGTATTGTAACTCTGGCTAACCGTATTGCAGCCAGGTGCGACGAATTGACAGCCAGCTTGATCGGCTGCAGCTGTCAGCCACGCGAGCAGGCAGCTTTTCCATCACCGCCGAGGAAGCCCACAACCCCACCAAGACCTCACGAATCGCACATCTGCAGAATCTCATCAAGTCTCTCTCTACTACTGCGTCATCCAAGCACAGCCTTGTCCCCGTCGCGCGCATATCCGAGGCGCTACAACGTGCCAACATTGCTAGCAGCTACGAGGATGCGAGCTACGAGCACGAGCTGGAATGGCTGCTAGTCAGCAAGGCGACGACACAGGTATACGGTCAGGTCTTGAGTACGATACTTGAGCAGACCATCCCGCTGGAAGACGACCTGTGGTACTGGGACGACATTCTCTCCACCTACCGATTCGCTGGCTTATACTCGATACAAACATCTCCAGTCCGCGTATGGAAATGGTCGCAGGAGATATACCACGATGTCTTGTCGCGCGGCGGCCAGGTGGCCGATGGATGGAGCCAGTTCTACGGCCTCGTCAAAGATGCAGTGCAAGAGCGGAGCATCGCCAACATCCAGCGAAGAGTCGTGAGCCCACTAGCGCTTGTGAGAAATGAAGGCAGGAAGAAGCGGGCCGCCTTAAGGAAGATACGACTCATCAACGCAAACGCGCTCGGCGTGCTGCTAGGCGAAGGCCTGGGTAACGAGAGGTATGTCATAAGCTCATTGCGGGATACGGCTGTTGCTAATCTTTCCAGTGTACACGACGACGGCACCCAGTCGCCCACGCTCCTCGGAACACAAAGTGGACATAGATGGAAGAGCGTCATGTCCAAGAACATCGCCCTCATGGATGCCGTCATCCAAAGCGTGAACACGGCAGAGCTTTCCGTTGATAAGTTCGACGACTCGGTGGCCAGCATCACACAGGACGATCAATTCTACTCCCTGCACGAACCCACTGGAGAGCGCACAGCAAGCACACTCAAGCCGGCAGACGTCGCTGAGCGACTCCAGTACCTACTCCGGGACGCATTGCCTACCTACACGTCAAACTTCAATGCTGTGGTCAAGGAAAACGGACGTCCATCCCTGATCATCCGGTACTGGCTTCCCGCCACTATGCTCCTTGTGTCTTCAACCACTATCCTGCGCATCTTCGTCAACCGGAAAGAGGAAATCTTGACCTGGGTACGGGAATTAGGACAGACTGTGATTGACTTTTGGACAAACTGGGTCGTGGAGCCTGCAATGAGAATCATCGGTACCATCCGGCACAATGAAGACAGCGAGGTTTCCATCATGAGCAAACGAAGTTTGGAATCTGACCGTGCAAGCCTCGAGCGCATGGTTGTTGATTTTGCTGTGAAGAACCCCGAAGGCCCAGCACTGAACGAGACACAGATCGCCGACATCAGAGCCAAAGTTCGCGAGGGCGACCTAACAACGGTGTTGAGATCGTACGAGAAGGACATCCAAAGCCCAGTCAAAGGAGCTATAGTTGGTAATCTCGCTAGCGCACTCCTCATCCAGGTGCAGAAAACCAAGGTCGATGTGGAAGTTGCCATGAGTGGTATCGACAGCATCCTCAAGAGTCAAGAATTACTCTTTGGCTTTATTGGTCTGACGCCCGGTGTACTCGTCAGTATTGGCGTGTACCGATACCTTCGAGGTGTGTTTAGTAGCCGTAAAGGCGTGCAGATGTGGACAAGGCAGGGTCGCATGTTGCTCATCCTACGCAACATTGATCGCATCCTCACCAGCGCGACCGCTACCGAGGATGGCGAGATCTCTTACAAGGACCACGGTCTCCTTCTTTGCGAAGTGCATCTACTGCGACAAGCTGCGAGTGGAATCCTACCGCGACGCATCTTCCACGACCTGTTGGTGGAGATAGATGAGCTTGTTGATGTGCGGAGTGGGCTGCAGCGACAGCAAAAAGTAGTCGAGCGTATCCGGTGGGCGTACTCAAAATGGTTTACTTGAGGAAGCATGTCTTTTGCAACTGGGATGACCCGGTAAAAGCACATTTATGATCAGCGTACATACCCACTTGAATACAAATCTACGAGCAAGTTCGTGCACTGCGAATCGTATTCTCCAGTAGGCGTGAGTCGAGCATGTGAGGGTCAAAGCCGCCTAGGTGCGACAGGGTGCAGGGCGACACGAGAGACCTACCTTTCTTTTCTACACCAGGCACCACAGCATGACCATGTCTTGTGGTTCGCGTCGTGATGCCGGCAGTCAGAGCCGAGTCGGGCCCAGAGCGCAGTTGCCACCAATCCGCCTCTCATCACTCGCTGCGGACGACAGTGACGACGGTGGTGAGCCCGTGCGGACTATTGGCGCTAACGTCCAACGTTGGCTGGCACACCTGTGAACTCCAACGCCATTCACTTCGCTGCCTGCTGTTGACCACACAGCGACAGACATATACCCAAGACCGAAGCCCATCGCCTGCACCTTGCACTGTCGAGTCGAGCGTACATCACCGGCATCCTCGTGCAACCGCCAAAGGAAGCCAGCTCACCGTATACCCCAAACCGGCGGGCGCCAACTCCGCATACCACGCACCGACCGATAACGCATATCGCCGCCCTACACCAACATGGCTGGATCCAGGAATTACGACTTTCTCGTAAGCTCGCCCTACCCCGTACTTGCTGGACCCTGAGCGCCCCTCCACCGCTTGTATACCAAGACCCACACTAACACTTCCCCCCCACGTAGATCAAACTGCTCCTCATAGGCGACTCGGGCGTAGGCAAGTCATGCTGTCTGCTGCGCTTCAGTGAGGACTCGTTCACGCCCTCGTTCATCACCACCATCGGCATCGACTTCAAAATCCGCACCATCGAGCTCGACGGCAAGCGCGTGAAGCTGCAGATATGGGATACCGCCGGCCAGGAGCGTTTCCGGACCATCACCACGGCCTACTACAGAGGCGCTATGGGCATTCTGCTGGTCTACGACGTTACAGATGAAAGGAGCTTCAACAGTACGTCTCCGCTGGGTATCCTGCATAGCACAGCAACAAACGGGCATCGATACTAGAGGCTAACACTGGGCAACAGACATTCGCACATGGTTCTCCAACGTCGAGCAACACGCCACCGAGGGTGTCAACAAGATTCTTATTGGCAACAAGTGCGACTGGGAAGAGAAGCGCGCCGTCTCTACAGAACAGGGCCAGGCCCTCGCTGACGAACTTGGCATTCCCTTCCTCGAGGTCTCGGCCAAGAGCAACATCAACGTCGACCAGGCCTTTTACAGCTTGGCCGGAGATATCAAGAAGAGGCTAATCGACACCGCAAGGACGGATCAGACTGCGGCGCCCAAGGTGGATGTTGGTGGGCAAGACAGTGGAAACGCTGGCATGGGTGGGAAGTGCTGCTAAGAATAGGTGCAAAGTTAGCAGCGGACGCATTGGGCTGAGATCCATCACACAACGAGGCTATACGACGAATATCCGCTCGAGCGTGTCTTTTGGGTAGCATCACCTTTTCTTACGAGTCTTTGTTTCGGCGTTTTCAAGAGAATGGGAGTACCTACTTTTTACAATTACGTATTGTAATGCCAATCTTGTATATGCAAGAGTCAGTCTTCACATGGCACGTAAAGGGCTACTAATAGTTTCGCTTGTACTGCAGTGGTATTTGAGATGAAGGGGAGTTTCAATTGCTGACACTTTTTCAGTGTGATTTGTACAACGCCCTCGACATGACTCCTCCACGCCTGCTTTTACTGAAAAGATGAACCACCTAGAAGAAAGCACACCACCCAATGTACATGGCTGCCAAGTTGTGCGGGTCCCTCGCCATAGCAATGAGTGCCTCGACGTACCCCTCTACACTCAACGGTACACTCTCCCCCTTCAAGTACCCGTTCACCTTTGTGCGCGTGACATCAAGGACCTCCTGCGGCGTATCCGGTACACCCACAATCTTCTTCCTCCGTTTACCACCCAGAAAGTCTGCCGTGGGATCATGCACGAATGTCTCCAAAATAGTGATGAGCGTGTCTTCGTGCTGTCGAAGCAGCTTATACGTGAGCTCAGCGGCCTTGCGGAACGGACCTTCAACGCCCTGGGGACCCATGGCGTCGACCATGTTGTGTGTCAGGCGGAAGGGCACGAGTTCAGGTTTCTCAAACGTGAGACCCTTGTCAAAGAGGCAGTTGAAGTCTACGTGGAAAGTGCCACCATCGCCTTGCTCAAGGAGAACGTTCTCACCGTGCCTGTCTCCTAGACCTAGTACGTGCCCAACGATGCTCATCACCGCGCAAGACCGTGTGTACCGAAGACGCGCTGCGAACCACGCTTCTGGCTCCGGAAACGTCTCTACGAACCATTCATGTAACACAGGCACGAACTTACCGAGGATGCGTTCAGTGAAGATGGTGACTTTGGAGGGTGATGAGCAGGCTTCGTTTAACAGTAGACGAATCTCTGTATAGTCGATTGCAATGTTGCGTTGGCGGTAGAAACGAAGGATGATGTCGCGCATCGGTTTGAGGCCTTCGACCCATTCAATGGCTCCGCACTCTTCGTTGAGAGGTGTTACGGCGTATGTCTTGATGTACAGGCGACGTTTGCTCGACTCGATGTCCTTTTGGAGAGCCCGATTGATCATGGCGTTGAATTCCATGAGCCGCTGATCCTTGCGTAGATCGTCTTTTGGTTTGCAAAGTAAGCCGTATGAGCGTCCGTCTGAACCGCGTACGTTGAGCTTTCGTGGACGCTGTAGAGACGACAAGACCAGTACATCATCATCAAATGACTGTATCGTGATGGCGTCGGCTGGGAATGGGTTGTAACGACGGAGGGACTGGCTGTCGTTGCTAGCAGGCAGGTTGGGAAGCAGATTGGCCTCAACAGGTACCACTAGAAGCGTGGGAGCCAACTTGTGGTTAAATCCCAGCTCCTTCGAAAGACTCACGCGTGCTATTCGCGACTCTATAGGAGCGTCGCAAGCTGCCAGGAGCGCATCAGTAAGTCGCTGTCCTTGACCAATTAGGGTTTTGAGGTCGACGAAAGCTCCCTTGCGCTTCGTTGCGTCCTTTTTGTTGTTAGCTGATTTCTGACCTTGACCAAGTCGAGAACTTACGCGCAGTTTCTGCAGAACGGCAGTGCCCCGGGCTCTGCGGTCATCCTGTGTAGAGTGAAGGACGGCAAATAGAGCCCAAAGCGCCTGCTGCGGGTACGATGAAGCGACTCGGATGATAATCGCCTGGAGAGCCTCCCAAACGCTCTTGTTTGGATGGCTGATGCGTGTGATGATCTGCGGGAAAGCGGTATACCATGCAAATGCAGGCATTCGTTCTGCTGCGTAGCGCGCGACATATTTGTTGATGTGTTCAAGGTAGTTGAGCCGATGCCCATGGAACTCCTTATCTTTGGTGGTTCTGGGCATGTTGTGCGTGACTTCCATACCCATGTCCAACCATAGCGTAAGTATCTTGGGCAGGGTCTGGTAGTAGTACTTCGTCCCATACACCGTAGAGCGAGTGAAGTTCTCAACGACCAGCTTGACGAGGCTTCCCGAGAGATACTCGGAGCTCTGCTTTGTTATTGGCTGCCGCTTCTCTGACTCCAGAAGCTTCAGATACCATCGACCCAGGTAGTAGTGACCTTTGTCCCACCGGGGATACGTTTGCACACCAATTACATACTCCTCTTTCAGAGACATCGACTGGGTCTGACCTGCGCGATCTAGCCATTTAGCGAGCAGTAGTTGAGCATGGCACTTAACCTTGTTCATGGAATGCCCTTCGTCTCGACCGGCTGTAGTAACAGAGATGTTGATGGGCACGGTGTCCTCCCGCTGGAACGCGTTGCTGTCGATAGCACCACGAAGGTTTTGAATGGCCTTACGATGGTGACCTTCTTTCCAAAGAAGCTTCGAATATTCGATTTTAGATGCGTTATCTCCAAGTCGCTCGGCGTGTAGCACTGAATTGAAAGCAGTCGTCATGAAGCCTCCCTTACGAGCCAGCCGTCCTGTTGTGAGCCATGCCGAAGCGATGTCGAGTTTCGTAAATTCGATGCTATTGTCTGTCAGCAATACTCAACATATGCCAGATCAGGTTGCTCACCGAGACAATGTCATTGCGGCACGGCGTAGTCCCAGAAGATACTGTTTGTCTGATGTGTACGCTCCGATGACGTCCAACCGGCGATCTAAGTTCTCAAGGATAACTTCACGGTCCGCCGCAACCCCATTGCTCATACCGCTTACAGCTTCTATCTCGTATAGCGCGTGCAATTTCACAAGGTGTTCATGCGATGCTTGTACAGACGCTGTGGTAGATGGGGACATGCTCTTTGCCAGAACTTCTCGCAGTTTTGCAATAATGGCCTGAAACTCGATACGGTTCTTGTGACGAAGTGCTGACAACGCTCGGCCTAGTCCAACGTTGAAATCTATGAAAAGATTCGAGTCTGCGACATTAACTGTACCAAGAAGTCGATCGAGTTGTTCCCATTTACCAGTAGACCAAGCTGCTTCAGCTGCGAAAGGCAATGTACTACTCAAAAGCGAGTTAGTCGCATGGAAGCCGTCTACGTAATTGAGGATCGAGTCTTGAACGAGCATTAGCTACTCTTCATGGAATTCACTTATTCAGACTCACCGTATTGACCGGACTCTTTTAGGCAGGTGAGAAGGTTAATCTGAGTCTCAACATCGTTCGGTTTTTCAGAAAGTGCAATCTCATACCAACTCTGAGCCGCTGTCCACCGTCCAGCTTTACGATCTTCGATAATCTGCTGCTCAGGATTGAGGACCTTGAGATGGGCCGATATCCCCTCAATGCTGTCCGGCTCGTCGATATGCGCATAGATCATTTGTAAATGTTGCAGCAAACTGTCTTTCTCGGGGAAGGGCTGCTTCGACGCGGCTTTCTTGTCTTGCTGCTGGCGAAAGTATTGTTCCCAGTGAAACAAGGCTCGAGAATACGAACCGCATTCAACGGCTCGTCGGGATATAATCTCCGCGGGGATAAGCTGGAGTATCCCTTCAACGCGACTGACTTGCTTGATCGAGTTCATCTCCTCGTCCTCGGACACACCACGTCCCGTTTTTCCCGCCATTGTTCTTGCGTCAATCAGGGATTTCTTCTTCTCTTGTAGCCATAGTGACAGGTAGTCGAGTGTCTGAAACACATTCTGCGATGGGTCAGCGAATAAAGTTTGATGGAGTAGTTGTAGGGCCTTGCCTCGCTGCACTGCTTGATGATGGAAGATTCGTGTTGCTCCGCCGTACGCAAGTCGGCCTGCAGCACCTGCAAGAGCTCTCGGCCAACATTTGCCTTGTTCTCATCGCTGTCAGATACGATAACGTTAAGAGCTGCGAACGGAAGGATGAATGTAGCTATTGATAAATCGTAGCCCCTGATGATTCTAGCCAGAACAGGGAAGACCATCTCAACATTGACACCTTGCCCTTTTCGCAACAGGTCGTAAACAAAGGTCTGGAGCCAGGTTCCATGGCTAAGCTTCGAGTTGAAGATCGGATATGTTGCACCCTCGTACTGTATTGATGGATTCATGTTGACGGAATATTTGGAATCCAGGAAGGGCGTCAGAACAGTTCTGACGGCCTCTGGAATATCATTCCAGCGTTGTGCCTCTGTGCTAGTCTGCGAAGACCGAGGCTTTGCCCCGCGGAGAGCGCTGAACCCGCAATGCTTGAGCATCTCCTGCATGGCATAGGCGATCCAGCCCTGTGCTTTAGCATTTGTGGTAGACAGGAAGACTTTGACCAGAACCTGCTCCAGGAGCAATGCCACAAAATTGATGTCCTCGTCTCTCCGTGAGAAGTTTGATAGCATCAAGACGCGCTTCTTTTCACGAACTGTTTCCACTCGATATGGATCAAGACCGCCGATGATACCAAGGCATTGAGCACAAAGGATGGTGATATCAGAATAGTCTTCAGAGAACCGTACGCTGGCGTCAAGGAGAGACCGCGTCAACGCCGCTAATATCGGGAGAGGCTTTTGACCGACTACTGACTGGTGCAGCTCTCGCTGGTTGGCATCTAGAAATGGCACAAGCTCTATCAGTGCCTGTCGCACTACGACTGAGTTCTGATCTTTGCATCGATTGCTGAAGGCATGGAAGACCTTGATGGTCTCGACCATATCTTTGAACTTTACCAATTCTCCCTCAATTTTGGAGAGCATTGGTATGCCCGCTAATGAAGGAAGGTATTCCACTCTATCTCGAAGTTGCGCATTATACTGCTGTATTATGCCCTCAATAGCTTTGTGAGCCTTGAGCTGCGTATCTTCGGAGAAAATTGACCAGTGTTGTACGATCAATGCGAATGTTTGATCAACGACTAGCATTGTCTCGTCTCCATCGAGAGCTGCCAAGAACGCAGACCAGACAGTGAATGTATCGTCGCATAGGTCTGGATCTCCCATGGCCGATTGGAGACAGGCGCGAATCTGTGGCAACGCTCCATTTACGCTAAATCGTGCAAGGTGGATAAGATCCCCTATAGCAGCTATGCATCTCTTCCTTTCGGGCATTGTATGGGGTGTTGCCTTTCCCTGGGCGTTGGGGGCTTCGATGACATTCGAGAAATATGCTATAATGCCTAGAATATGTGTCTCGCAGAATGCATCCAGGTTCTTGGTCTTTGAAGTAGATTTACGCTGACCTGATTTCGTGTCCGGCGCGAGCGATGCAAGGGTACTGAATCCTTTGTAATAGGGCTTTTTCCTAACAATTTCTTGGTCCGCCGCTAGTTTCAGTATCTCGATGGCAACGCCAGTTATATCTAGTGCAACCCAAGATTCGAGCTTGTTATTACTGCCATCCCGGATAGCAGGCTCAATGGCTGCTAGAGTCTCCATCGCTGTCTGCTCGACTTCAGCGACGGGCTGTGATAGAAGCAAGGCGAGTATCCTCGCAAGGTTGGCTCTTGGATGCGTCAAGACGTCAATGACAGAAGCTTTCCGTGCCTGGGCGATCTTCTCAATGATGTCTCTTCGTTTGCTCAATACAAGATGAGGAAGAGTATCCGCTTGGGTCTGCACCAATAATTGACGGACGCTTTGCTCAGTCAAGTCAGCCAGCTGCTGCGCCTTCTGAGGCTGATTGACGATGTCCTTGATGACTGAGAAGCCAATGACCTTCCAATAAGGGCTTAAAAGCTGCATCGTATCCATGGAATACCCTTTAGCGATCGACTCAAGTTCGCGGTAAGCCATACCGCATACCAGTGCGTTTGGATGGCCTAGGTATTCGATGAGGTGGTGTAATATTATGGGTAGCTCTAGTTCACCGCATGTCAATGCGGTTCGACCATATGCGATGATCAACGTTTCCTGATCGGACAAGATGTTGCGTTTCGCCAGAGCATCCAGAAACTCTACGAAAGACCGTCGATTTTTCCCACGAACGGTTTTGGATATGTCATCTCGTAAAAACACCATCAAGGAACTTGTCGCAGCGAGTTTCAGTTCCCGTAAAGATCTACTCATAGACGCAAGCAGCCACTGTCCTAGCTCACATACCTCGAGAGACAGATACTCAGGGTCAGAGATATGGTTGTAGACACGACCAATGGCCACAGCCATAAGCACTCGGGATTGCGATGACGCCTCGAACTCTGGTTCTTTCGTGATCGCAAGCATGGCAGCAATAGCGTCCTTCCAGCTCTCTGCATCGTCCTGTTCGTTCCAATGCATCGCGGCGTCTCGTCCATTTCGTGAGTTAGCATCACACAACATACAGACAAGTGACTGCAGTGGCTGCGAAGCTGATTGTGATGGTTCCAAACACCGGGATCCAGCACATGCAATCTTTGTGAATGCTGTCATAATATCCACTTGTGTACGCTCGTTCTGCCGTTCGTCGTCCATCATGGATGAGTACCTTGTTCTGTTGAAGTCAGCAATGGCTATCAGAACCAATTGAGACGACTTACTCCATGATGTTGTGAAGATTAGACAGGTTGAAAACAGGTGAGTCCTGACTACTGCCATTCAATACCATCATGAGTCGCTCATATATAGTACGGTTGATGTCAGAAGTGTCTGGTAATGTCTTTCGCCGCTTGGTAGGCCTCTCTTCGGTTCCTAGGTTTAATACGCGGAATAGTTTTAGGATTCGCGTTGATTCCTCAGCAAGTTGAGCGTTCGAAAAATTGCCAGTGTCACTCTCACAGAGCTCTTTACGTATGTCTGCGACAGACATAGGCCATGTGCCTGGTGCGGTCCAGAGACAAAGGGCCAGCTGGTATATGTTAGTATAGATCGACACTGCAGTGCTCGTTTCGTACCTGTAAGTCTTTATGGAGCTTAGAAAAATGATCCACATCCCGGCAAGCCTTAGCTATGATCTCCTCAACATCGTGTAAAACGATTGTTCTGCTCGCTTCTTGCCGACGCCGGATTGTCGGGATATTTTCAGGCGATGAGACAAGTGCACTGCGTAAGTGGGTGAGGATGATGGCCAGCCGCACTTGACTGCTCTCTGATGCCGGCAATGATGGTAAACCATCAACAAACTCGCGGAGGCTAGTGATTAGTGCCTGCGCATTCTTCAACGAAGTACAGGTGCGGTCTCCAGGCGCCAATGAAGGAAGAAACAGTATTTCTAGTAGCTGCAAATATACAAGCGTAATCTCATCGGAGAAAGGACGCTTCGCCGAGCTTGTTGTCCATCGCCTGAAATATTTCCATAAAGCTTGAGCACTATCTATGATCCAGGGTAGATGATGATCTAAGGCACCAGGCGTCACAGATTCCCTCTCTTGAGGCTGGATAGCATTAGCCAACGCCAGAAGCAGACAGAAACCAACGTTGATGGCACCGAGTTGCGAAGTGATGGTTCGCTGCAGATCGTGGGGCAAAGCAATAATTTGTTGGCTTTCTGGCCAGAACACACTGATGTTGCTTGATGATGGCAGGGCAACACTGAAAGACGGCGCAGGTACCGAAACCGGATCGTCCACGGATTGCAATTTTGTCAGGATAGCTGGAAAGAGGTAAGCGGATGGGGAAAGGGTTCTGGCTTAGTACTCACATTGCACACACGACCTGTAAAGTTGTGAGACTACTGCAGCTGAGCGCCAGAGGGCAGATGTCCGAGCAAGCACGCTTAGGCACAGATGGAGCAGTTGCTGTACATGTTCGTGCACAGAATCGAGTGTTGTATACGTCAACAGGCCCAGTAACTTGGGGTATAACCAGAGAATAAGTGGAGGCCGAGGTATACCGTCGTCTTCGCTGTCCCGGGTGCTCAGCAGTAGATGTGGCTTTTGTTGCAGGATGAAGGTGAGCGCGGCAATACTGTCAATGCCTTGCTGCCTCTGCTGGTCCTGGGCAAACGGATCATGTTTGAACAGTCCCTCAAGACCGGCTTCCGCGATGACGCACACGAGCGCTACGAGTTGTTGATCAGGCTCGTCGGTGTTTGGATGTTGAAGAAACTCCTTTACTAGTTCACCAAAACTGACTTTTGTTACTTGGCCATGCCGCGCATTGACATTTGAAGCGTTATGTACAATTTGAGCCGCGATGGTCGAAGGGGGCGGAACGCCATTCGAATTGCCGTTAGTCACTGGTGGCGGTGCCATCCGCTGAGTCGAGCTCCCGCCTTTGCGGGCCATGATGCACGTTACCGACGTGGCATGTCGCGTAGGTTGGGAAAGAGTGCAGCCTTGGAATGTGGCCGGACACCTGGTTGTTGGCGGTGATGCTGGATTTGGCTTTAAGCGAATGCCTGTACAAAGTTCGACTGATTCAAGATGGTATTGTTGATAGAGTGGCGTCTGATTGGACGCGGGTGGGGGCCTCTGCAATTTGCTGTGCGGTAGTCCCGGGCTTTCAACGAGTGTTGTTTCGTGTTATTGATACGATAGTCCGGCAGTCGTCGCAAAATGCACGATGTAGGCAGATGTGTGTATGGTGTGTAAGGTCCACAGAGAAAGTGTATGGATTACATTGACGCGAAGTCGCGTAGTCACGAGACCCCGCTAAGTTCTATCTTGGTAAAGAGCGCTACTCCGCAATTCCACTTGGAAGCATCGAACCACCCTTGCTCAACATCGAAAGCACCGAGATCGCAACCCCGAACGCTACATAAATCGAGCACGCATTATACGCATATCGGCGCCTACTGTGCACGTCTGCAGGATCTAGCATCCTCTAAGCCGCAGCCATGCCTGGCCCATTCACTTCGAAATCTTTCAGCGCCACACTACCCAACTCGCTCGCCGCCCGATATCGAAAATCACTCCAGAAACATCCGTTCCTACTCTTCGGCCTACCATTCCTCTCCACCATCGTTCTAGGGTCTTTCATGTTGACGCCCGCCACAGCGCTGCGATATGAGCGCTACGATCGCAAGAACCAACAAATAACACATGAGCAGGCTATGGGCCTGAGAGGAGAGCGGAGGAAGGTTAATATGAAGGATGAGTACTACGTACGTATAACAGGCAATATAGGTATTGGACGAGCATGGGCTGACAACTGCACAGAGATTGCAGGCTAAAGACCTCGAGGACTGGGAACAGAGGCGTGTCAAGAGGCTGCCGGGAGAGCCAGACGGCACACTTGTGTAGGGACGAGACAGATAATCAAAACAGCATCTGACACGGCGTTACGGAAAATGATTAGCATAGCAGATTCGATACCTCTGTAAGATACAGACCCCTCCACTTTCTACAGTAGGCGCAAACTGCACAGGAAAACGGACACCCATACTAGCTTGATTGGGGCCATGATACCTGAATTTATACCATGGAAATGTTTGCTATATGACATTTAGATTGTTCCACGGAGTCGATTTAACACTGCGTCCTCTGCTCGGCCCGTGATAAGTCAGTGCATCGAAGCTGGGAACGACTCGCTCAGCGAAGACATTATCTCTAACGAAAGAGCCTTGCAGCGACAGAAACAAAGTGCGCTATTCTTGTGGTGTCTGTTGGGATCTGAGGTAGCAACTCGAATCCGAATCGTATCAGTGACGGGAAATATGACTTCTGTGTACGCATGGCTATAGCCTCGACGTAACGCATTATTATTCGTGTGATATATATATATGGATCACGCTCGTGTGATTTGAATCGAGCCGGCCATGAAGCGAACAATGAGAAAGAATACGCGAACTACATGCTCAGGATCGCTTCAAATGCAAGACATGAACGGGACAAAGACTACGCTCGAACGCCTCGCTACGATCAACAGATAGGAAATAGGAAAAGGTGCCTTAGAGAAGCAATGAAAGTACTACAGCACACACGAGTGCATAGTACATAAGAGGAGATGAAGAAAAGGAAAATATGCGTGGGCATACCAAGATGAGTCTAGTCGTGATATCCGCCAACTGTGAGAGCATGGGGATTGGAAGCACAGACAAAGGTGTAGACATAGAGCGAGTGACAAGGGTGCAGACTTGTTGTTAACAACACCTACCACTCTTGCTCTTCTGCACCCGATTGATGTCTTCTTCCCAATCTTGTTGGTGTACAGCGACGGCTGGTGTAGTTGGAAAGCCCAACCAACTCCGCCTCTTATCGCCTGTGCCCAAGCGGAAACTGCCATTGCCGTTCCCAGGGTAATCGAAATACCCAGCCACATTGCCGTTGTTGTCCATGGCCGGAGTGACTCCAGCCATAGCGTACTGGCGTTGTTCTTCTTCGAGCTTCTTCTGTTGCTGTTCGACCAACTTGCGGGTGATAACACGGAAGACCTCATCTACACCTTCACCATCTTTGGCGCTGATCTCATGACAACAGTCCCAGCCCAAATCTTGTCCCCAGAAGCCGCTCGATCGGTTACTCTGTGGCGATGCCATACCGCCGGTGTGGAAGACTGCCGGTACAGAGCCCCAGCCGCTTGTCTGAGCACTGTGTGGCGGCCCATTCTGCGTAGGGTAGAGATTTTCGGCGACGTATTCAATGCAGCGCTCAAACGGCACTTTTCGCTTGGCAGGGTCTTCGGCTACGACATCTGACTTTGTTCCTACAACATGGAGAACCACGTCTTCTCCAAGGTTGGTTTTGAGTTCTTTAAACCAGCGGCCCATCTCGTCGAACGAATAGGGATCGGTGATGTCGTAACATAGTACTGCAGCGTTTGCACCTGCAGAAGAGTTGGTTAGCTTTTCGGTAGAGTGTTTGGGCTACGGCGAAGAGTGGAAGCATGTCATCTCGGCCATTGGAAAGTACATTCCAAAAATCAACACAGCGGGCTGCGAAGACGTATTCGAAGTAAGGAAATTATTGGCGTACCTCTGTAGTATAGCTTGGAGATGGACCGGAAGCGCTCTTGACCTGCTGTGTCCCATATTTGTAACCGGACCACGGTGGACGTGTCGATGTCCACGACCCTCTTGGTCAAGAAGGATGCGCCGACGGTCGACTGTGTTGTAGGAGGTGTAAAGGCGTTCTTCACGTATCGGTGGACAAGGGAAGTCTTCCCAACGCCTTGGCTGCCGAGGACCACAATCTTTGCTTCGAGGCTATTGGACATGACGGTACAAACTGTCGTCACTCGCCAAAGGTGTCTGTATTCGTCGACGGTCGGCGGTGCAGGGGTGGGGCGGAAGGCGGATGTTGTGGGGTCGACTCAGGTATGCGCGGTGCCTCGGAGCCAGGAAGAAAGGAAATGCGTGGTAGGCGGTCGCAGGACAAGTTGCATGGCGTGCAGTGAAGACTTGTCGCCGGTAACTGTGAGAAGAGGCAGAGAATTGACGTAGAGCCTGTCTGAGAATATTAGGCAGGAGGTGAGTGACCGAATGACAGTCCACCGTGTTTGGCGCTTGCACCGATTCTCTTGGCTAGGGGAGCCCATGTGACAGACGCCTTAAGCCAATATGAATCGATGTGGGAGGGACGCATCGAACATGGAAAGATGGGCGTCCATCGTGATCGCATTCTGGAGACTGATTACCATCCTGGGGATGACGCGCCATGTTGATTCTCGTGGGTTGGGCAGTCAACAATGCACGTCATGCCCACCCAGCTAGCAGTTGTTGCTTTCCCCGCGTTTCGGAGCAGAGCCCGCTTCTTCCACGCGACCGATAGGTAGCGATTAAAAACGCTGCCACTTACCCTGAAACAAGAGTCCACGTTCCTCCGACCGATGATATATCTCTAGGAAGACCGGTCGGCGGTCGACTGTCAGGGATCGAGACGGGATACCAAATGTGACAAGCCCGGACATCTAGCTCGCCTCGAGCTTGACGGTACTAGCTTGCTTCCATTCTCCGCGACCAGCATCCGAAGCCTGCGGGGATGAATGTACCGAGCTATCACCCCAAACATGCTGCCGTCACCAACCTGGCCCTTCCGCCCGCCCAAGCTTTTAGTGCCTGGAAATAACCTAGATCGGCTCCATATATTTTCTGGCCTATGTTCGCGACTTGATTACCTACCCTCCAGCATCCTGCGCCTACCACAACACCGCGACGATGAACCACGACAGTAATGACACCCAGAAGGTGAAGCTCACCGGCGAGCAGGTCGCTGAGCACAACAACGCCGAATCCTGCTGGGTCATTGTTCATGGCCGCGCCTACGATGTAACCGAGTTCCTGCCTGAGCATCCTGGAGGCCAAAAGATTATCCTAAAGTATGCCGGCAAGGACAGCACTGAGGCGTTCGAGCCCATCCACCCGCCCGACACTCTTGACAAGTATCTCGATAAATCCAAGCACTTGGGCGAGGTGGACATGAAGACGGTCAAGGAAGAGGCGAAGGAGGTCGACCCTGATGAGGAAGAGAGACAGAAGCGCATTGAGCGCATGCCCATCCTGGAGCAATGCTACAACTTGATGGACTTTGAAGCTGTCGCGCGCAAGGTCATGAAGAAGACTGCATGGGCATACTACTCCAGTGGTGCAGACGACGAAATCGTGGGCTTATCCCAAATACCATGTCCTTACCCAGACTGACTCTTTCCAGACGTTACGAGAAAACCACAGCGCATTCCACAAGATCTGGTTCCGGCCACGCGTACTCATCGACGTCGAGAAGGTCGACATGTCCACCACCATGCTCGGCAGCAAATGCGATATTCCCTTCTATGTCACTGCGACGGCGTTGGGCAAGCTCGGCAATCCAGAAGGAGAGGTTGTGCTCACGCGCGGCGCACACAAGCACAATGTCATCCAGATGATACCGACACTGGCATCTTGCTCGTTTGACGAAATCATGGACGAAGCAAAAGACGGTCAAGTCCAATGGCTGCAACTGTACGTCAACAAGGATCGCGAGGTCACAAAGCGGATCGTGCAGCACGCCGAGAAACGCGGCTGCAAGGGTCTCTTCATTACCGTCGATGCACCACAGCTCGGTCGTCGCGAGAAAGACATGCGGAGCAAGTTCGACGATGTCGGAAGCAACGTTCAGAGCACCGGCGGAGACAATGTTGACCGTAGTCAAGGCGCCGCACGAGCCATCTCGTCCTTCATTGACCCGAGCCTCAGCTGGAAAGATATCCCGTGGTTCAGGAGCATCACCAAGATGCCCATTATTCTCAAGGGTGTGCAGTGTGTTGAGGATGTTATCCGCGCCGTCGAAGTTGGCGTCGAAGGCGTAGTTCTTTCAAACCATGGTGGTCGTCAGCTCGATTTTGCTCGCTCCGGTGTCGAAGTGCTCGCAGAGGTTATGCCCGTTCTTCGCGCACGCGGCTGGCAAGACCGCATTGAAGTCTACATCGATGGTGGTGTCCGACGGGCCACAGATATCATCAAGGCTGTCGCACTAGGCGCCAAGGGTGTAGGTATTGGCAGACCTTTCCTCTACGCCATGTCCGCATACGGTCTCCCAGGTGTCGACCGGGCTATGCAGCTTCTGAAGGATGAGATGGAGATGAACATGCGCCTGATCGGTGCCTCAAGCATTGCGGACTTGAATCCTTCTATGCTTGACACAAGAGGACTCAGTATGCACACCGCCACTGTACCTCACGACACTCTGGGGATGAATGTGTATGATCCGCTTATCGGCCCTCAAGAGAGTGTTGTCAAGGCGAAGGCCAAGTTATGAGGAGCTTGTGCGTGTATTGTATATCAACCCCAGGCGCAAAGGATTTGTTCGAGAATCGTCAAGTATTACATATCTTCACAGCATGCAATCTTTCATTCAAATAAATATTCCATCAACTTATCTAGTGCCCTTGATCACTCTCCCATTTATCGTTGTTCGCCATTTTGCCCTGTGAAGTATGGAGGGCTTTGTTTCAGGTCGTGACCACGCGAGAGCGCGTTCGGTCGGTGGGGAAGGAGCGCTGGGTGGACCTGCCGATCGTCAAGCGTCCGTGGGTCACTCTTCTCACTTCACTCAGGGCAAGCCTCAAAGATTCACATTATCGCATGATATTACTATATATTTTTTATTCTTGAATCGCCTTCGCATTAACGTTTGAGATCTTTCGCTTCTATTAACATTGTCCTATGGGTGCTACTAAAGGCGCAGCGCAACCCGGCGCTGGCTGGGACGAAGCGCAATGTACAGCAGCACTCGCACAATTGGAGCAGCTCCAGGCGCAGGTGAGACTTCCCTAACGCCGTTCCTGAACTCATACTGATATGCGACAGATCAACGACATGCGCCTAGCTATCCCGCGCATCATCGAGCCTTTCCATCGTCCTCGGAGTTCCGCGACTTATAAGCTATACGTTGAGGGCGTGAAGGGTTCCCAGAACAACCTGAATGCGCTCACGAAACATTGGAAAGACCCCGACATGCAGAGCACATTCGAGCACGTCAAGCAAAGCTTCGGCGCAAATGCGGACCTATCAGAAAGCGTCTCCATGCCCTCCTATGGATGGGTAGAAAGAGCGCGGAAGGCAAAGGAGTCGTCAAAGAGCAAGGGATCTGAAAACGTAGATGATTCCGGTGCCACACTCACTGAAGAGGATGTATCTCGAATCGTGGTGGATTTCCGCAAGGCACACCCAACTCTAAAAGTGGAGGCACAAGATGATGATCGCAGCATATATGTATGGCATCCATACGCCTCGAATCACTATCTGCTCACATACATAACAGATGCAGTTCGTTTCCGGTTCTCTCATGCTGAAATTCCGTATTGGCATCGAGCGCGAAGCAAACGGACGCTACAAACTTAACGCCGAGTGCTTGGGTACAACAGAGCCCTTTTTGGCCATCACAAGATGCATTGCATCTCGGCCAAATGCTGACGATTTGAGATATCTACTGGTACGTACATGAAATTCCATGCCATGGGTATGGTTTGATTGTATGCTAACCATAACAGGATATGATTGCTGCATACAAGACCGTGAAAGGAACTTCGTGTGCCAGGTGTGGAAAACTTCTCGACAAGTCGGCACTGACATCCACTGCAAGACGAAGCAAACAGGTCGCCAGCACGACTGAGACTCCTCAAACTATATGGCAAGCGACCCACGAAGGCTGCATCTGAAAGACTTTTTCCAATTAGCAAGGCATTACGATACATGTCTGCCCATGTCGTTTATAAATGGGCCACCCTGAAGAAATGGTAGGTATTGTCCATCCTGCCACCAACCACCATACACATCGCGCAGAGCTTCGGGAAACATGTTCCATTTTCTGTTCTTATAAGGATCTGGTTGCCATCTCGCGTCTGTCCACATGCGAGGATGCCGATCTACATACTTTCGCGTACGGAAATCGTAAACCATTTCGCGTGAACGTCCACCTGACAGCACACCTCCCTCTGTCCAAGGGGCGAACTTGGTAGGGTTGAAGGCGGGCTCCGAGAAACGGCCATCGAGATTGACATGTTTGGACCATTGGGATCGCGATGGGCGTTTGGCCACAAAATCTCTTGCATCAGCCGCAGAGCCAACGAAGATATCTGGACCTTTGCCTTGGAGAATGTCTTTCATTCGACCCAACTTGGAACTATTTCTACCATCTTTTGGCCAGATGAAAGCTTTCGATATTTTTGGATGTCGCAGTTTTCGTTCGTCTTGATACCATCCATTGGATATATGGGGTTGACCGCGAATGTATCGGGCTGGCCTGTGTCTCCAAGGGCTTGGGGCACGGTGGAAGAACGGCGGCTCAGGCAAGAAATCAGTCATAACTAGGTATTGTTGGAATGAGATTGCAGTAGGACATGAAGATCACACCTCGAAATAACTGCGATAGACGTTCGCTTTTGAATCAATACTGTCACTCGTTTGCTAGAATAGGTCACAAAGACGAGTTGGGCTCGCATAACATAATGGACACGGAATATTTGTATAATCGTTTGTCACATTGCCATTACTTTGCACACAAAGCTTTATGTCGTTCGGCCATGCTCCCATTCCCATTTGGCTCATTGAAGGGCAGCCGGACACGCCAGTCGTACCACGCTCTCATCAAACATCCAAAGTCGGCTCCGTGGGTTTTTTTTGGAGAGCCGAATACACGGACAACGAAGATTGAATATTACTTGACGCACACTTGTCGATTGTCTCAGTAAGTTTAGGATGATACTAGTTCTTTCACATGGACGCGTACCTGAAAGACAGGGATCACAGCGGTCCGAGCTCTCAAGCTTGAACAACGCGATCTCGTTTCTCCAGGTTTGTTTTCGGCACCATCAACAACACCGCCCCGTACAACCACCATGTCGCTTTTCGGCAATCTTGGAGGCTCCCAGCCCGCCTCTTCTGGCACATCAGGCGGAGGGCTGTTTGGAGCAACAACAGGCGCATCAGGCGGTGCTACACCAAGCTTGTTTGGCAATCTAGGCGGAGGTACTTCGAATGCGCAATCCAGTACGACACAAGCACCAAGCACTGGAGGCGGACTTTTCGGTGGCTTGGGCGGAGCAAAGCCGGCAGCAACTACGACACCCTCACTGTTCGCTGGCGCTGGGTCTACCTCACAGCCGCAAACGCAAGCGCAACCGAGCAGCTTCGGCGGACTCTTCAATAAACCGACATCGCAAGCGACAACGACCAACAACACGCAGCAAACGAGCGGCCTGGGCCAATCCTCCCTCTTCGGTGCTACCACCACACAGGAGCAGCCCCAACAGCAACAGCAGCAACAGGGCGCGTCGCTGTCGCAAGCAAACGCTGGTACCGGTCGCTCAGCCCACTTCGACCATCTGCTCGAGCGAGGGCGTAAGCGCAATGCTGGCGAAAATGGCGGCAACAACTTCGACGAGCTGCCGTCTCTACAGTTGGGACTGGGAGACATCGCACGGAAGGTGCGCAATCTGGGTGCTGGAGGTCCCTCAGCAGACCAGGTCCAGGATCGCTCCCAGGATCGCGCTGCGTATGTTGGACCTGATCATGATGTGTTGCCTTGTGCTGATTGCTTCTAGACACTACCTACTTTCCGCCTCTGGCGTCAAGATGGGCAGCACCCTCCGCGACCTAAACCAATTCTCTTCGCAAGGCGGTCTCGCTGCACCCGGCCAGACACAGAACCTGTTCGACAACGACGTAGACGGCTACATCTCGAACCTGCACTCCCAATCCACCCTAGCACTCATTCAAGAAGGATTGGAACAATCTAAACGCGACTTCGACACATTCCTCGAGGACAACGTTCAGATCGAATGGGACAAACAGAGGCAGAGGATCTACGAACATTTCGGACTCGGCCGACAGAGTGAAGATATGGCCGCATCCCAAAGCGGCGCATTTGGCAGCACGGCCCGCGGAGCTTTTGGACGCGCAACAGGGCGCAAGGGTCGTTCTATGGGCCCTAATAGCGGTGCGTCTGTAAATGCGAGATCGACTTTTGGCGCGTCCGCTGCCGGACCGCCTGTCCTAGGCGCCTCTCAAAGCGTGCTTGGTGGGCGCGAACCTACCGATAAGTCTGTCATGGGTGGACAAGCTGCTTCTCAGGACCGATACGCACGTGACAAACAAGAAAAGTACATGGACGAGGTCAAGAAGCTCAACGAGTCCAGGCTACGTGAGAGCTCATTCTCGGTACTCCATGCATTTTCAGACGTGGAAAAGGCTGCGGGCACCGAATACTCAGACCACTTCACAAATGCGTATGGAGCGCTTATATCCATCACTGGCGAGAAAACCGAACTGGAGGCCTCCAACCCTGGTTCCAACCAGCCAAAAGAACGAAGCTTCGCCAAGGACTACTTGGACGACCAACCGAACTCTGCTGCCAGCGTACGCATGCGTAAATGCATACTCGATGGCTCTCGGAAGTTTTTGGAAAGCAAGTTCTTGGAGCAAGTCGAAGATGTGTTGCGGAGGAACCCTGCAGAGGCGCTCGTTGGTGGAGTTCCCTCTATGCTCAACAAAATCCGAGGCTTTGTACGAGCGAAGGCTGCGTTCAAGGAGCTCGGCGCAGATAGTGATCTATTCCAGAGGATAGGTGAAGCTGGTGATGAATTTCCTTGGATTATCATATTCTTCCTTCTCAGAGGTGGCCTCCTCACTGAGGCTGCGGAATATGTGCGAGAGAAGAGAAACTTCTTCCAGAACACCGACAGAAACTTCCAGGCGGCAATAACTCAGTACGCCACCGATCCAGAGCGAAGATTGAACCCAGATACGCAACAAAAGGTCGCGCATACGCATGCGCAGAGAACTCGCTTGAAGACGCCAGAAGATCCCTACCGAATGGCCTGCTACAAGATCGTCGGCCGTTGTGATATGAGTCAACGCAATCTGGCGCCAATTAAAGAGAACATGGACGACTGGGTATGGCTGCAATTTAATCTGGCCCGTGAAGGCAATCGCGCTGAAGAGAATGCTGGCGAGATCTTCGGCTTGGAAGAACTGCGAACGACCATTAAGGATATCGGTCAGCGTCATTTCATGAATGACGAAGCCGAGTCCGCGGGTGGCTATGGAATCTACTTCTATCTCGCTACGCTTGCTGGTCTGTTCGAGCCAGCGATCAACTACCTCTACACTCACAACTACGTCTCCGCGGTTCACTTCGCCGTTGCTCTGGACTACTACGGTCTACTGCGTGTGTCGGACTGGACGACTGCAGGTGGGGAGATCATAACCTTCACTACACGACAGCAGCCACAGCTCAACTTTGGGCGCGTGATCGGCCACTACACCAGTGACTTCCGTGCCGCACGAGCTGATGCTGCAGCTGACTACTTGGTCTTGATTTGCATGAATGCGGATCTACCAGGCGAAGCAGGACGACAGCAGGCAGAGCTCTGCCACGAGGCGCTTCGTGAACTTGTCCTTGAGACGCGCGAGTTTTCCACGTTACTGGGTGATGTCAAGTCGAACGGCGAGACGACGCCTGGTCTCATTCAGGAACGTGTGCCGTTGCTCAAGCTCGACGGTGAGATGGGCCTGTTGAACACCATCACTAGTGAAGCCGCGAGGATGGCAGACGACAATGGACGCATCAACGATGCCATTCTACTATGCCATCTTGCTGGCGAGTATGACAGTGTCGTGACGATCTTGAACCGCGCACTTGCCGAAGCACTCTCTGTAGAGCTCGGCCAAGAGCCACTTCGTCTGGAGCCGTTGAAGCCGCGGCTGACACCCGCAGAGTCACAGCAACAGCAGCAGCAAAGGAGTGAACTGACTTCGTCGAGCTTGAGCATGCTCGGAACAGATGATCCTGTCGAACTTGCCCAAAAGGTTCTTGCACTGTACGATGCAAACAGTCTATGGTGGAGGAAGGTGTCACAGATGAACCGTGATACCGTTGGAATACTATTCCAGCTCAACAACGCAAAGAAGGTCATCGAGGCTGGCGACTACATGGCAGCACTCGGCGTAAGTAGTTGCATCTCTGTCTTACACTATCAGTCACTAACAAGTCATCTAGCAAATCGAGAACCTTCGTATCCTCCCTCTATCAGCTGGAGGCAACGTCAGCGACATTCGCGCTACAGCCAACAGTTTCAACTCATACCCACCAGAGATTTCACGCAATATTGGCAACGTGCTCCTCTGGTGCATTGGCTGCTGCTCGCGACACCGTGAGCGTCTTCTGTCTGGACAGTTCGAGGACAGGATGCGCAAGGTGCTTGCAGATCAGCTGCTGCAGAAGGCGAAGGATCTCATGGTCTTTGCTGGGCTGATCAAGTACAAGTTGCCACCGAGAGTGTTTGAGACGCTGGCTAGGGAAGGTCAGGAAGTGGGGGCTTTCTAGAATTGGGGTAATGATGATAGATGTTCGCATGTTGGAGTCTCTGGAATTGACATTGTAATCTCAGGATGGGCTGGGAAATGCTTGGATTTGCGAGCAAAGGTCGATTGAACATTTGCGCAATTGCTGGACATGGTTGGTTTGACGTCGAGCGATACCAACAAATGATTATATTTCCGGGCCATCCGTATCTCAGTGGTGATCAGAATGCTTTCGCCGCAAGAGGCCGCGTGGGGTGACGGCCAAGACGAAGATGGTACAACGACAGCACAGCAATCGTGGCACAAACGATGTCTCGCTATGCTGTCATTTGTTGACATGCAAGTCTTGCAGGTTAAGGCAATAATGAGGTCGTTCGATTCTAGGAACGTGCCGGCGGCCGTGGTTGGCGATGCTTCCAGGCTCGGGCTGAGGATCGGCGAGTGGTGTGACCCCACTTGGCGGACCGGGGAGCTCTTTTCTTTTGGAGCTCCCACGTCATATGGACGAACCCATGCTCGGAGCCCCGTCACCTTATCACCAGCTTGAATAATACGTACAACTGTCGCCCGTGATACAGATATATCATCGTAAATCCAGCTAATAGCTAGCTAGTCGCATCACTTCTGACACTCACATATCAACAGTCAGGACTCGGCAAAGCTACCCCTCCACCCCGCCGTCGACCATTGAAACTTCCCAACACACAGGGACCCGCTTCTCTCGGCGTCTTAACTTTTCAACTAGACAGGTGAATCCACATTGACCTCATACTGACCCACGGCCAAATATCTTTTCGGACCTTCACATTCATCTGCGAATACCTCCAGCCTCCACTTTCACCTCCCCAACCTTAACCTACACCTTCCACTCCGCCCAATACCCTATCCAATAACACCTGATCTCACATTATGGCGCCCACAGAGATCCCACCGCCCCTCGAGGGTAAGAAGAGGCGCATCGGAGTCATGACGAGCGGAGGAGACGCACCTGGCATGAACGGAGCAGTACGCGCTGTAGTACGCATGGCCATTCACAACAATTGCGAGGCATTCGCGATATACGAGGGCTACGACGGTCTGGTCAAAGGCGGAGACATGATCAAAGAGATGCACTGGGAGGACGTCAGAGGTTTCCTATCCGAGGGCGGTACGCTCATTGGCACAGCACGATGCATGGAGTTCATGCAACGAGAAGGCCGCCGGACGGCTGCAAAGAACATGATCATCAAGGGTATCGATGCGCTGATTATCTGCGGTGGTGACGGTTCCCTCACAGGCGCGGACAAGTTCCGTGCTGAGTGGCCAGAGCTGCTGACCGAGCTGGTGCAAGAAAAGCAGCTCACACAGGAGCAGGTCGAGCCCTTCAAGCATCTGAACATTGTCGGATTGGTTGGTTCCATCGATAACGACCTTTCCATGACCGACGCTACCATCGGCTGCTACACCTCTCTCGGCCGTATCTGCGAAGCCATCGACTCGGTCGACACCACTGCCGTCAGTCACCAGCGTGCTTTCGTCATCGAAGTAATGGGTCGGCACTGTGGCTGGCTCGCACTCAGCGCTGGTGTTGCGACAGGCGCCGACTTTGTCTTCACACCTGAAAACCCACCCAGCGAAGGCTGGCCGGAACAGATGTGCAAGCAGATCAAGAAGCAGAGAGAGATGGGCAAGCGAAAGACTATTGTCGTTGTTGCCGAGGGAGCCATCGACCGCAACCTTAACAAGGTTACTTCACAGCAGGTCAAGGACATTCTTGCAAACGAAGCGGGGCTTGATACACGAGTGACTACGCTCGGACACGTCCAGCGTGGAGGTACACCATGCGCCTACGACCGTATGCTTGCGACACTCCAGGGTGCTGAGGCTGTCAAGGCAGTGTTGGAAGCTACCCCGGAAACCCCCAGCCCGGTCATCTGCATGCAAGAGAACAAGATCGTTCGACGACCACTCCTTGAAGCTGTCGCTCAGACCAAGGAAGTTGCTGTAGCTATCGAAAGGAAGGACTTCCACAGGGCCATGCAGCTCCGCGATACTGAATTCGAGCAACAGTACCAAGCCTACCAAATCACAACAGCGCAAGATCAGCCAGATCTTCTACTACCAGAGAACAAGCGCATGCGCGTCGGTATCATCCACGTAGGTGCCCCAGCCGGAGGCATGAACGCAGCCACTCGAGCTGCTGTTGCGCACTGCCTTGCTCGCGGCCACACGCCAGTTGCGCTCCACAACGGTTTCCCTGGCATAATCCGCCACCACTCTGATGAGCCCGTGGGTGCGGTGCGAGACATCAAGTGGATCGATGCTGAGACCTGGGCATCCAAGGGTGGATCTGAGATTGGAACGAACCGTGGGCTCCCTAGTGAAGATCTCGAGACAGTTGCGTTCGTCTTCAAGAAGTTCAACATCCAGTCTCTGTTCGTTGTCGGCGGTTTCGAAGCATTCACAGCTGTTTCGGAACTGAGGAAAGCACGGGAGTACTACAAGTCGTTCAAGATTCCCATGGTCATCATCCCTGCCACCATCTCGAACAACGTCCCAGGAACAGAATACTCCATTGGCTCGGATACTTGCTTGAACGCGCTTATCCAATACTCCGATGCCTGCCGCCAATCAGCGTCAGCGTCGCGTCGCCGCGTCTTCGTCATTGAGACCCAAGGTGGTGAGTCGGGCTACATTGCAACAGTTGCCGGTCTCAGTATCGGAGCATTGGCCGTATACACACCCGAAGACGGCATCAACCTTAAGATGCTCGACCGCGACATCGACCACCTCCGCGAGGTCTTTGCCAAGGACAAGGGTATCAGCAGGTCTGGTAAGGTGATTTTGGTCAACGAGAAGGCGTCGAAGACCTACTCCGTGCAAATGATCGCTCAAATGATTGCGGAAGCCGGCAAGGGCAAGTTTGAATCTCGTCACGGTGTGCCTGGTCACTTCCAGCAAGGTACCATACCATCGCCTATGGACCGTGTCAGGGCCGTCAGATTCGCTATCAAGGCTATGCAACATCTTGAGAGCTTTGCTGGTCTAGACGCAGATGAGATCGAGGACGACTCCATGTCAATTAGCGTTATCGGAATCAAGGGCAGTAAGCTACTGTTCTCTCCGATGGAGACTGTGGAGAAGAGGGAGACTGAGTGGCACCGTCGCCGCCCCAAGCATGAGTTCTGGATGGCTCTCAAGGAGACGGTCGACACGCTCTCCGGTAGGCCTCAGGCGCCAGCCAAGCCTACTGAGATCGACACACTGGCTGGACGGCCAGCAAAATAAACGCACACAAGGCTTTAGAGCTTATGAAGGTGTACAGGCGTACATTTGAGTTTGAGAAACTTGCTACAGAGGGCCTTTGGCTACCATGGTCACGGCGTACATGTAGATAGATGCTTCCTTATGATAACGACCACGAAATGATCTGACTAATAATCATCTTATCTCAATCCTCTTGAAATTTGTCCAAGCTTTCGTCGTTCCAGCTTAGGAATTTGCCGTTGAAGCTCTTGACCTCGTCATCTCCAACAGCCAGTCTCGCAATGACATAACCCGGTTGTTCTGGCTTCAAAAGCCCTCCGTCGCTCTTCAGTCCACTGAACTTCTCTCTATCCTTTCCGCTCATTCGCTCGTGATGCACTTCTCGGATCTCACGTTGCATCTCCGTGTCTACGACGCCTGGTCTGATAGAGATTGTTGTAACAGAAGGTTCTTCGACTGAGAGGGTAAGGGCTAGGTGGTTTAGTACCGCTTTTCCGGCGCCATAGCAGCCCCAGCCTTGGTAAGCGGAGGTTGCGGCGCCGCTGGAGGTTAGGAGGATACGGCCCTGGGTCTTGCGCAGAGAAGGGAGAGCAGCTTGAATCTAGAGTAGTTTAGAGTGGTTAGCTAGGCTTTTGAATGAACTAGAGGAGACGAAACATTTTCGAAGCAGCCATATATGCTCCTATCCTTGAATTTGGTGATGATTGACTGACTGAATAGATGGATGAAACCAAGACGGAACAGGTACGTACCAAACCAACAGCACTGAAAACATTGACATCGAATCCCTTCCTCCATTCCTCAGCACTAGTATCGGCCACCTTCTTCACAGGATCCAAAGACCCATGGTTGATGATCAACGAGTCGAGACGTCCCCATTTTTCGTTTGCTAAAGCTACAGCTTTCTCAGGTAACGAAGCGTCGGACATGTCCCCAGCGAGCACAGCAACTTTTTCAGAACCATACTCAGACTGCAGGGCTTCGAGAGCTGACTGGGTTCGTGATACGAGCACCAGCTTGTGGTTGCGGGAGAGCAGATGGTGGGCGATTGCCTGACCGATTCCTATTTGGACGGGTTAGTAAGAGATGAACCTTACTATCACAATGTCTTCTTTCCACTTTGTACAGAAAATTAGTTGCAACGTGGTGGCTTCTGCACGCCTTCAGTACTTGGAGACGAGAAGGAATATCGAATTGTAATGCTTTTGGCTGGGCTGGAAAGAGATGCTATGAGCTTGTTAGATGCACGCACGTACCTCTCGATGCACCCGTGAGTATAACAACCATTTCTTGTGATTGGCTCATTTTGACTGTTGATTGGATGTTTAGAGCTGTGAGCTGGACATTGGAAAAGTTAAGCTCGTGTTGGAGGGGCATACGTCATATTAGTCATCTTGTCATTCGAGCAGTCTACAGGTGGAGGGCAATTTGAAAAGCATGAACTTCCGCAGTAATTATACGCTAACTTACTAGCATTTGAATCAAAGTGAATTCAAGCAGTTCAGAGCTTGAGGGGTTGGCTCAGTGGCTTGATCTAGGGCATATCTGGATTCCTTCACGGCATCGCAAGATGACACCCGATTATAGCTTTTAAATATATAGAAACTACAGGAACAAGTCCTTTCGACGCACTTTACACATTCCAAACTCTCTTTGCAACCTAATGTCTACATGCTCGCCTTTCCTCTACTCTCAAAAGGCAGTATCAGCACTAATAGCCCCGCAGCAATGAACAATGCCCCACTCACGTAAACGGGCACGCTAGTCTCCAAGTCCGCAAACATAGCAACAATGGGCGCCATGATACCAAAAACTCTGTTCGCGCTCGCTGTGATGGCATTTCCTGTACCGCGATCCTTTGTTGGGAAGATTTCAGGGGTGTATGCGTACAAGACTGCGTACATGATATTGCTCATAAAGTTGTAGGCACAGTTCCATCCAAGGAGGCTGTTGGAATTGAGTGCCCTTGTAGAGCATAGGAGGAATACACCGGTAAGTACTGTGGACAAGGACAGTGTGCCTTTGCGGCCTATATAAGGCGCCTCAACGAGCAGACCACCAAGGATACAGCCTGGTACGCCCAGGACAGCGATGATGAGACTGTTGCGATAGGTTATATAGGTGGAGCCATCGCCAAAGTCTACGCCACGTGTGGCTTGGATATAGGGCAGGTATGCGTTGTATAGTGGGTAACCGAGTCCGATAAATGCCCAGACCAAGGTGATTGTGCTAGTTGAAAAAGCTAGTTTCTTCGTGGCGAAAAGAGCCTTGACGTGCGAGCTGTCCAACTTCTGAAGGTTGCGCTTGACCACTGCGGTGGCAGTGCTAGTTTGCTGAGCGGTACCAGGTAGCGCATAGTTGTTGCAAGTCGTGAGTTCCTCGAGAGTCAGAGACGAAGCTTTGCCGTTGCGGCGGGCAACCTCATGAACAATACGGACGGCTTCTGAATCGTTTCCTTTGCCCATGAGGAACTTAGGCGATTCGAAGATTGTAAAGAAGACGAAGCGCCCAACGAACATCATAAGAGCAACACCTCCCATTACCTTGAAACTGGATTAGCGATTATCTCCAAGACCACGTGGCATAGTACTGACAATCATAAAGTATCGCCATCCCATATTCTCTCCTCTCGCGCAGTTTGTATCCGTCTGTTGACATGTAAGATTTCCAAGCAACGGCCATGCTACAAGTGTAGCAAAGACTTGTGCGAGCGCCCAGTTTATCGACAGGATTGTCAACAGATACTGGTGTGATCCAGGGAGAAACCTGAAATCGGGTGTAGAAAGTCAGTGTATGTCTCACATGCACTTTGTGTATGGCATTACTGACTCAAGGAAGATGGCAGAGTCTACAGGCAGGTTTCCACCCACGCCAACAGACCACAAAGCAGCGAAAGTGCCGATGGCAGCAAAATTTGGACTACTCGCCGCTATCATACCGAATACAGCCGTGATACCGATGGTGAGATTGAAGGCCCATCTCCTGCCGAAGATGTCACAACCGAAACCCCAAAACACTGCGCCGAAGAGAAGTCCAATGTTTTGAGACAGAGACAGGAGCGGTGGCCTTGTGGGACTGAACTCGTTGCTCACAGGTGTGAAGATCAACGATGTCACGATGGGCCAGAGATTGTCCATGGCCCATCCGAAGCCGATGACGATGAAGAGCTGTAGCTTGTTAGACGGTCGGGATATGGTAGGGTTGAAAAACTCGTGGACGTTCACTGGAATTTTCAATGTACGGCGTGTTGATGCAACTCGAGTAAGCGCCGCCGGGATCAACACTTACCTGCCACTGATACTTTCCCATGCCTATGTCCTGGATTGCTTTGTTCAGCATCTTCGCCTTGGCTTCGTACACCGGATCCAGCGACCCATCTTCAAGGACAGATACAGGCGCCTCCCCATCTCTTGCAACAGTCTGTGCCGAAGGCTCCTTGTTACTGTAAGTCTCATCAATCTTCCTGGATGAGTCGGCCATGGTTTTCATCTGTTCTCTGAACCGACTGCGAGCACAACAAGTGAGTGAGAGGGGAGGCCGAAGTAGATCAAACTAAATACAGATGACTAGGATCATACAAGCGAATTGGTGGCGAGTGCAGTGAGCATTAGCGACGCTAGGAAACCCAGTGAATGGGAGATCTTCAACGGGAATGGTGTATGATTGAACCAGTAGTTTGCAGACTGCATGTTTAGTGTGACGACTCACAGTGTTCCTTGTCGCGCAATCGGCCTTCCCGTTTGCGCAATACCATGCATGGGGGCAAGTATCACCACTACGCGCGGGGTACTTTGTGGGGGGGACGTCATGGCTGTACTATATGCCTGTTACCAGATTCCCGCAGGCGATTAGAGAACATGGATCTTGGTATGGATCTACACAAGGTGTGAGTGTGTTATGCTGTGTGAGAAGCTACACCTAGCGGGTCAAGATCTGCATGTAGTGCATGGAGGGTGGTGTGGGAAGGGGAAACGTAGATTCGGCGACGGAGTTTCTCCGCGCTAGTATGACGCGCCGGCACGTCCAAGGTGACAACACGGGATCCACGTCAACCGAGAGGAAGAAGCTTGGAGTTCGGTAGTCATTATTTATTTATACCAAGAATCTATGACCTTGTGTTTGGTGCACATAATCTTGATGTAAGCACCAGCAATGCATAATGCAGAGCAGCGCAGTAGCAAGACGGTGGAACGTGGTCTACTTCCACAGCTTGCTCAAACTGGTCGCCTTGTCGTCGTGCTTGTTCAGCACCTTTGCGGTGGCCAGGTCAAAGTCCTCCTGCGTTACGTGCACTCTCCTCTCCCTCAGTGCATACATGCCGGCCTCGGTGCACACACCCTTCAACTCGGCTCCTGAACATCCGTTCATCTTCTCAGCAACCTTTGTCAGGTTGATGCCACGCGTCAGGTTCATGCTTCTAGAGTGAATGCGTAGAATGTCGGCACGGGCTTCGACGGTTGGCGGCGGGAACTCGATCTTTCGGTCGATACGTCCGGGTCGTAGAAGGGCAGGGTCTAGAATGTCCAATCGGTTGGTTGCCATGATAATCTTGATATTCTTGGTGGGCTCGAAACCGTCGAGCTGGTTCAGCAGCTCCAACATGGTTCGCTGCACCTCGGAGTCACCACCTGAGCTTCCTTCGACTCGACTTGATCCAATGCTGTCGATCTCGTCCATGAAGATGATGCTGGGTGCGTGTTCTCGTGCCATGACGAAGAGCTCGCGGACCATGCGACTGCCTTCACCAATGTACTTTTGCACCAGCTCGCTACCAGACACGCGGATGAACTTGCAGTCAGCGTGGTGGGCGACGGCACGCGCAAGCAGTGTCTTTCCTGTACCAGGTGGACCATATAGTAGCACACCCTTGGGCTGAGCAATACCGAGCGACTCGAAGAGTTCGGGATGTTGCAGACCCAGCTCGATGACTTCCTTGATCTCCTTGATCTGCTGGTCCAAGCCACCAATCATGTCGTATGTGCTGTCGGGCACCTTCTCGACCATCATGAGGGAGACGAGGGGATCGACGGACGAGGGAAGCAGCTTCTCGAGCTTGTACGAGTCGCTGAGCAGGGTGACGCGCTTGCCGGCGGTGAGTTTGCTGATATCGACGCTGTCGGCGACATCGACGACTGGTTCGGTTAGGTGTGACTCTGGCTGTGGCTCTGAGCAGGCAGCGACATACCGTATTTGCCTTCAGGATGGACCTTTACAAGCACCTTCTTGGTGCCCATGACCTTGACTACCTCGCCAACATAGGACCCCGGCTGCTGCAGGAGGCCGAGCTCTTCTCGCAGTAACCGTACTCTTGAATTGTAGTCGTTGCGCTGGGCTTCGAGTCGTCGTAGCTTGGCCTGTCCCTGTATAATCTCGAGCTTCATCGTCTCGATCTTGTTGTGGAAGAAGGTGTCGAGCGCCATGGCTGTGGCGGGCGCCGGCGACGGTGTTTGGGCTGATGTGGTTGACTGGAGCAGAAGTTCGATCTGCCGGCTTTGTGTGGTGAAGGGCGACAGAGAGGGTTGGGGCAAGGTCGTGGGGGAGATAGTGATGGCGTAGGCGTGGGTCGGCTTTGGCTTGCATGTTGACGCTGTGACGGCCGCCGCTGGAAGCTTCTCGGATCAAGGTTAGACCGATGCACCGGACGGAGGAGCCGCACGCGCTCGCAAGTCGCGTCACCACCTCAGTCTTGCACTTCTTTCACGCACCCATCACTTCTGCGCATTCACTAAACAATGTGGTTCATTTCTACCGTAGCCTCATATACGTGAGGAATTTGTTCGATTGTCAACACGCGACACCCTTCCGCTTTCTGTGAAGAATAAATACTCGCTGAAGTTAAAACTTTCACCGTCCTAGACCCTCAAGACGCTCTCTTCGCGCGCGCTGCCGTCTTCTGTCGGGGCGCTGCTACGACCTTGTTCCGTCGCTCAACTAACATCGAAAACACCTCGCGATTCATGGCATAGTTGACCTGCGTACTCTCGTCTTCGGCGACGTTGTCATGAATCTTAAGATGGTTCACGTCTTTCCAAAGGTCCTCTATAACTGCAGCATTAATCTGAAGAGCCTGGTTGCGCGCTGTGTTGCGTGTAATAATGCGCTCCGTCTTGACCGGCAAATCTCGTGGCGCCATCTCAGTATCGTCAACAAGCGTCTCGTCTCCGCTATCTTCGCCCTCGCCATTAGCTTCGTTGCTCAGAGCTTTGAGGTCCGCAAGAGTCAATGGCACAGTGCCATCATCTACCATTGTCAGTCGGTGTAAGGGAAACACGGGCAGCTAAGCACTCACTTGACGGACGTCGGCCCTTCAACAATTTCGCGATCCTGAGGCCCTCGCAATTATCGACGTGCTCCCTTAGATACTCATCGATTCGTCGAATCGCTTCAGCGTTGGCCACAGCTTCTTTCCCTATGGTACGTATCACTCCCACATGGGCGACTTGGATCCGTAACACAAGCATCGCCTTTACTTGGACCAGCTCGTCCATAATGGCACCCAGTTTCTTCTCGTCTGCCGAGCCAGACGTCAGCTGGTGTGCAATCTGATTCATCTTACTTGTCATCTTCGGATCCAGGTTTTCGAGCAATTCGGCCAGCTTGACCTGAACGGCTTGCAGTCGAACTAGTTCTGTAGCCACAGTAGCGATTTGCAAATCTTCCTCATCGTCTATAATACCGATGATCGCTTTGATGCTTTCGAGTTCGCTACGGTGTCGAGTCAAGACCTCAGCCAGAGCTTTTTGACGACTATACGCCCTGCGAAGGCGATCGACAATTCGGAAGGCTTGTTCCACGAGTTGAGTCGTAGCTTGGATGGCGGCGAAAACAGCCAATACTTCAGCCTGCTTTCACACTTTAGCTTCATCACTTGTCCAAGGGAAGACTGTTTACCATAGTGTTCAGCGTGTGGATTATGGGTTGGTTGATCAAGGCAGTAAGACCAGAGATTGCGCTGACAGCTCAATGGGTGTGAGATTACATTTATGTCCAGCTGAGCTCGCCGGAAACGTCTTTGGGGCGCAGTGTTGATTATGAGTCGACCGTAATTGCGGTTGGTCTGGTTCGCAGCATGCATGCAAGATCGCAGCCATTGATTCGCCATCGCGAAGCGATCCTGCAGCCATAATGCACCCCAAGAGAAACTCGAGTTCATGCTGCTGTTGGCATCCAATAGTAGTCAACATCTTTCTGAGGGGTGCGGTCCTGCGCTGACAATACTTATGCTTGATACCACAGCCTATCAGGGTCTGAAGCGGCAAGAAGGTATGCGCCGCGCGCAGATCAAACTGCCGCGGCTTTTGTTCGCCCTTGTCCGTTCAGCTAAGTGTTGACTGAGCCAGCACCAAATAGAAGATCGAACCGACTATCCTTGACAACGTAGAAGCGACATATGGCGAATTCTTCTTTTCCCTCTTGCGAGTACCGAGCGAGATCGACATAATCATTGGTGGGCGGAAGGTGAATTCGATCCGAAGTAGCCTCCATCGTAAACGAAGAATCGCTGTACACTACAAGACTTAGACGGCGCACAATCTTGTGTGCAATGAAATTGTTCAAAACGGTGGGTCGGAATATGGCGCGAACCACATGACGGGTGTCACTCGTGCTTGAGTTGAGAGTTAGATTTTGGCCTTGGAGGACACATTTATCCGATGTCTTTTTCTGGTAATTGTTAGGAACCACTCTGTACCAATCCGCACTGACTGCTGCTTACTGGCAATTGTACAGTAAATTTCCCGGACACTTTCGACGAAGATAGAGTCTTGAGTACTTTGCTCTTGTTCGGCATCTTCGCCGCGCATCTACTCGGCAGTGCTGATTCGTTCCCAGACGAGACTATCTCTGTACCCCAGCCGCACTTGCAGTCTGGAGACACAACTAGAGTCTTGCTTGTATTCGTTAGGAGCGTGCTCTGTCGGTCGGAGTGGGGGTTTGACTTACAAGTTAAGATTATAGACCTTATCTGCCACAGGCCCGTTGATTTGAACAGCATTGCCGCTGGAGATGTTTCGGCTAACGGAGGTCGCTACTACCATGGCTTGTATATCCTGAGAAGTACAGCTAGGAGAAGATATCAACGACATGATACGATGGTGTGCTAACAACGCCCTCTGAACAACATCGGCTTGGACGAGGTTATTCACTGCCCTCGTAGGCTCGGCTCTTACGGTTGAGGGAGGCTGTGAAGATGTGATTGGAACAAGCCTCTTGTCAGCCGGGCGGGGTACGGAAACGCCGTGACCGGTGTGCTGAGGGTTGCATATGACCATCCAAGGTTTGATGGATGGTGTTCCACAGCCCTGTATTGACGTGCAGTTCCGGTCAACTTGGAACGGCAAAGCGCAGATCCAAGCGAACGATTGTCTTGAATATCGATGGATCGATAAGCGCTCCTTGGCTCCTGTGCACGTCTTCGGTCTGCGCCTCATCATCTTCTGCCTTGTTGCCAGGCTTGTACTACACGCAATGCGCTTTGCAGGATCGTCAATCTCTTACCTCCTCACGCCACAGCCATTATGAGCTACATTGCTCGAATGCGCCTTGGCTAGCGCTGCTCTCCGCAGCCATCAGAACCTCGTTCATGCGACGCAAGTAAGCCCCACTCACATGCGGTCCGGTCGCTTCGACTGCGCATCATGTTCCACTTATACGGCACACATCAGCTGGTCTCGAAGCTGGTGAAAGAGAGTCCTGAGAAAGCCGTTGATATCCTCACTAGATGTTGCGCAGATAGTAAGGTCCTCGAAGAGATCAACGCATATCTCTTGCAGCCAAAACCAACTCAGCGCGAGGTTCCTGCTCTCCTACCAGGCGGACTCGACATAACATTTGGTTCACCTGCTTCGCCGTCTGTAGATAGCTCGCGTCATGCTGGATCCCCTCTGCCTCGTCAAAGGCTGGCTCGCCGCCCTTCCTCAAATTCAACAACATATCCCCTCAGTCCACCTAGGTCAGCGTCATCAGTAACCTCCCATTCCACCAGAAATGAGATCTCCACGGGGGAGTATATACTACTTCTTCTCTTCGGAGGAACTGAGGTTGAGGAGCACCTGGTCCGTATGAGACTTGCGCAGACGAGATACAGTGTGATACGTGGAGACGTCGTCCAAAAACGCGGTCTTGATACCATGTGCACATTAGTTCAACCAGACTTTAACGAAGTATATGTGCCTAGTCGCACAGCCGTGGGATTCGACCTAGTACCAACCTCTTGCTCAATAGAGCTGACCTGGCGCCGACCACGGTCCGACTCTACGCACAACACCATATTCTATGTAGTGCCACAAGAAGCACTTGACACGGACCTTCTCCTTGGTTGCGAGGACTCTGGTGAAGGCATTCCAGGTGCGTATATACATATTCGCTATGGTCAAGGAAGATCCTTTAGCTGATCAGATGCGCCCTTCGACCAGACTATCAGCCTACCATTGTTCCTGAATCGCAAGCTCGACAGAATCCACTTCATCAAGAATACAGGCAGGACATGCGTCCTCCAGCACCAACACCACCTTCCGTATCGTTTCACCGTTCAGCAATGACTCACGGCGGATCCGCTCGCGCAAGCCCCGTTCATCCTCAAAACGAGCAATACCATCCACATCATTTGGTAGAGCCCTTGATCTCTCGGCAGCGGACATATGGAACAGCAGTACAAAGTCAACAGCCTTCACCAGCCCCTACGGTTCTGGGCTCGCACATTGAGCACCCACAGCCTCTTCGACCAAACATCGCTGCAGCAAGCCCTGTCCAAGACGCCGATCCCAACAAAAACGCTGGTAGAATCAGATTGAGTATCTCATGGGACGTGACCACTTTCAACGTATGGCTGGATTTGAACGCACATTGCGATGCTTTCTACAAAGCCTTCCAACAGCAGGCCGCAAAGCAGCGCAAGAGCATACTCGACCGAGCTACCATCACAATACAACTGAAGAATGATAAGAACATGCCAAATGAGGAAGCCTGCCCCCTCTCACTTGCCGAAGATGACTTGGAAGCAGATTGGGAGATGACCACTGAATGGTTGGAGGCAAATAGGAGAGACAAATCGCCTCATATCTATGGCGTGGTAGAGATGGAAGAAAGGTGAAGGTCTACCCTTCCCTCTGGACCTTCGGTTCAGAATTTCATGCGATAACCCCTCCACTGATTGTTGCTTGAGGCCGCGAGCGCTCTTCAAGAGGCTATCGTGACTCCCGTCACCACTGGAATATTGTACGAAGACGTATACCCTCCGCATACGACATGTCCAGGAGGATCAAGGTCAGTGTCAGGTTTTGAATCGGGTCAGAGATATACGAGGTCTAATGAGCAACAGCTAGAGACAAGGAACTCAGCGGCACGAACAGAAGACTGGCGCTCGAGCTGAGCAAGACGGAATAATTTTTAACCATATATGAATCTTTCGGACCAGTGTAAAGATCCATCTACATCTTTAGACACATTAACTACCACAAGTAACTCGTGGAACAGTCAACTCACCCCTCTCTCGCGGTGCACAAAATCGACCAGACTCCTACCTTACTAGAACTAGCGTCCTTCAGGCAAAATGACTGAAACTCTGCCCTTTTACTCCTACGTTCCATAATGATGAGGAAAGGACAACAACATATTAAGTAGAAACAATATAATTTATGATCTTCTACAATTTTCTCATTTCAAGTGTGGAGGAATTTGCAGTAAAAGAAAGATGTAAGGCTTAAAAAGTAGCGACTTCAGGATTCTCGAGCATCATATCGTAGGTCTCTTCACTGTTGATTGGCATTGCCATGCTCGATCTTTGCTCAAAGGGCGTGCCACTAGTGTTGTTCTATGAATGACATCATGAGCTACGCTCTTTCGGTAACGATCGTCAGCCCGTCATTCGCTTTATCATGACTAACAGTCTGCTTAATTGCCGTGCCGCTTGTTCCTGTGAGGCACTCATGCAATATCAAGCATTGGCCCTGCCCTAACTTTATCATCCAAACTTATGTTTGTGAGAAACGACAAAGATTAAATCAGTAAACCCAGTCGGTTATCCAATAATGACAAGCAACGGGAGTGGCGACGATATATCTCTTCGCGAGCCACAGCAGTTGAATACAGGCGAGCAAGAACTGAATACCGGCGATAATGCTGAGCAGAACGTGAGACAGAGAAGTTTGGACAGGAACAGAGTGTTCGCTCTCGTAGGTTCTGCGTTATCGCAGCTACCGATATGGGGTATGATACCTGGAATATTTGGTTTCAGGTAAAAGTTATCTCACATGTATAGGCTTCGCCATGAGCTATGGCGTTCTTCAAGAATATTACTTCGATAATTGGACACTAGAAGGCGATCGCAAACTTACCGGTATCATCGGCACGACATCCAACGGCGTCATGTACCTGTCCATGCCTTTATTGTTTGCTTTGTTCACCAAACGCTGGGCCCGTTATCGCCAGAGCGCAGCTATCTTGGGTGCTCTACTCGCATGCACCGCCTTTATCTTATCGTCATTTAGTAGACATGTTTGGCATCTCGTCGCGACACAGGGAGTACTAGCAGCGTTGGGTTGCGCACTCGTCTATAGCCCGACTACACTATCCCTCGGCGAATGGTTGGTCAAATCTTTGTACGAACTGCTTGCGAAGCATACACTGACTTCGTACACCAATATCTAGGTTTAACACTCAGAATCGAATTTGCAATCGAGCTGTAGCCTACGGCATCTGTCTTTCCACGAAAAACATTGTAGGATCAGTTTGTCCGTTTATCTTCCGAGGGCTCCTCGATCGCTACGGTTTTCGAACTACCTTGATTGTATGGGCCGCTATCACATTCGGAACTGCCATTCTTTCCGTTTCAATGATAAAGCCACCCCGTTCGAGCCTCGACACAAGCACTACTCGCGGGCGAAAGATTCCCTGGCACTTCCTCAGACATCAGATTTTCTGGGTCTATAGTATCGCAACTCTACTCCAGAGCGCTGGTTATGGTATTCCGCAAACATACATTAGCGAGTATGCACGCAATGTGTCCCACCTGTCCCACACCTTCTCAGCGCTCCTCATCACTCTGATCAATATACCCGGCATTTGCTCCTCCACCTTCTTTGGCTTTTTGAGCGACAACAAATACTTCCACCTTTCTGCCCCGACTGTTACCGTAATGTCTGCAGTCAGCTCCGCTCTGTCTGCATTTCTGTTCTGGGGATTAGCAGCGCAAGGGGGTATACCCTTACTAGTGTTGTTTGCCATCACCTTTGGCTTCTTCGCTAGTGGTTACAGCGCAACTTGGGGAGGAGTCATAAACGACATAGAGAACGACGCAGCGCGAAGGAACGAAGCCGTGGACAGTGGGGTGCTGTACGGCTTACTCAATGGTGCCAGGGGTATTGGATACGTAGCGGGTGGGCTTGTCAGTGTGCCTCTCATCCAGGCTGGAAGTACGACGTCAGTAGGACGTTTGGGATATGGGACGACTTACGGCCCCCTTATCATATTCACCGGTCTTTCATTGTCTTTTGGTGGTCTAGGACTGGCTTTTCGGCGAAAGTAAAAGCAACCACCACATTTGCAAGAAAGGTATCGATGGGGATAAATGGCTTCAGACAAGCGATCAGAGAAGACGGGTAACGCAGATAACATAGTTGATCTAGTAAAATAGCTCGTTGGGCAGCGTATCCGCTGCTCTAATTACTTCCTGCCACGAGGGCAAACGTCTTATCAGCCATAAGGTATCGTACAAGAGGGCCTACAAGCTTGTTGGAGCTGTACCCGAGGGAATAGCGCCAGAAGGCATAGCTCCGCTCGGCATAGTTCCGTTCCCCCCCGCACCGCCTTCACCACCCATATCCATGGCATTCTCATTCGCAACTCCTCCACCTGCTTGATAGTCCGCAGCAACAGCATAGTACTCATCGTCAGTATAATCGGCTGTAGAGTTTATGCCGATCTGGATCCATGCCATCAAGCCATCTTCCACATCATCCCCAAGATACACGTACTCCGGGAATGGGTCGAAGTCATTATCGGTCTGGACGATAGACCACATGTCCTCATCGTTGGTAGTATATGCCTGGGTGTTGGAAGCATAAGGCTCGGTAGCTTCGACAGCGGATTTGAGGTCTTCAGGCCAGAAGAGCTGACCAATGTGAGTTACGGCACCATCGGAGCCGGTGGTACCATTGGAACGAACGGTCACATTGGTCTTGACGAGGAGGTGCGTGTGTGTTGCACGGCCCTCGTAGTGACCTGGAAACAGAGTCTCAAAGGCTACAACACCATCCGCATCAGTCTCTTGGACTCCGCGCAGGAAAGTAGTGTTAAGACCGCCTTGGCCGGACTCGACACCGCTGTAGTAGCCGGTAGAGTTGCAGTTCCATACGTCGACGTAAAGCTGTGGTACAGGCTCACAGGTGCTTACGTCGACGTATTGAACTTCAAGATAGAGATCGATACCCTTTTGGTTCTCGACAACGTTCTTGCGGATCATCTCGCCAGTGACATAATAGGGGCCGTCGGTGACTTCAGGAGAGAGAATGCAGGAGGTGTTTGCAGCGAAGATGTCACTGGCGAGAGTGTTGGGTGTGTAACTCATCACACCTGTCATATTGTGATTGACGTTCTCGAACTCCTGGAGGAGGGCCAGGTCGCGACGGTACTTTTTGGACTCTGTGGGTTGATGTCAGCAATGTCCATGGGTACTTGAGGGTGCTATTGACGAAGGACGTACTCGCAGTAATACCACGCTTTTCGCGAAGAGCATCCAAGGTGTTTGCACGACGTGCCTCCGCACGACGCATCAAGCTGCGGTGCTTGAGAGTGTCTTGACATTCGGCTAAGGAGCGTTTTGCTGCTGCTGCACGCAGACCACGAGCGTCAACCTCACGCTTGATCTTGATGTGATCATGCTTCTCGCCAGGATGAGCAGCTACAGTGCTGATAAAGGATGTGGCTGCAGCAGCACCGGCGAGAATGGAGGCGATGTTAACCATGTTGGAATGTCAGTTCCAGAAAAAGATCAGGTAAATAGTGTAAAGCGATGAATTTGAAGGCAAAGAATCTTGCGCAGCCGATATAAGACGTCAAATGATGATGATAGAAAGCAATATGTCGATTTGAACCTCACTGCCTTTATACATTCCTTTCTTCTGTCCTGCTGTCCTTTCCTTTAGGAGATACTTGCCATAAACGCCTCGTTACGAGTAGGAAAGCTTCGTCACGATACATGACGCGGCGTTCAAAGGCCCTAAGCCTCGCCATAGCCCAAAAAAGCTTTTCGAGGTTTCCCAACGTGGACGTGTAGAAGGGCTTAACCCACATGGTGTAGCTTCGCCACCAGGTTGACAGGCCTGGAACGCAGCATTGTAGACTCAATCGTACTAGTGTCATGCGTCATGTTGTACAATGCGATTTTGTCTATGTAAAGTTGGCCTGGCTGCGTACGTACGCTTAGGAGCGTTGAAACGAGCGGGCGGACAATTTGGCGCAAGGACCGCGCCCAGGCGGGAAGCGCCGAAGTTAGCGTCGGAAGAGACTCGAACTAGGTGTAATCAAAACTTTTTTATTGGCCGCTGCTAGTGTAGTCATGAAGATGTGCGTATACCAGTCGTCGCAAGCTTCGTCAAAAGTTCTTGTTGGTGCTTAGGTTTCGAGTCATGCACCAAACAACACAATTGATCCTTTGCGCGTCCATAATCTTATATTGACCACGCCTCAGCTCATATTACAGTGCTACTATCATCTGCTTCCCCAGGCCTTTTGCATCAAAGTCTCTACCGTGATCGGATGTACCTCTGGGAAGACATCGTTCCTCAGTCCCTCTCCTGTGATATCCATAATGCCTTTGACGGCCATGACACCAAACTCAGCCATCATGCTTCGAGTAGCATCTTCGGGAAGTTCATAAGAGCCCTCAGGTTGCTCGAACAGTGTCGCTTGACCCTGCTCTAGCTTATCGATGGGATCATAGGTGACTTTCCATTTTTCGCCTATGATTCCAGTTGTCAGCTTTGCTCTAAATGTCCATGATATGGTTGCCAAAGATGACTTACCGGTTACTCTCTCCGCAATTTCCACAACTTTGTTCCACGTCAACTTGTCGCTAGCAAAAGCGCTGAACTCAGGCCATCTCTTCTCCTCGTTCAATAAAGCAGCAATATACTTCGCAACATCTGTGGAATGCAAGAACGTGACTGACGCCTCGCCATCACCCGGGAGTGCCGCTTTCCGGTTGTCGAAATCAAGAGCATATTTAAAAGGCTTCATATTACTCTTGCAATGCGGCATGCCAAAGTAATCTGAGAACCAGCCGAACATGACACGTGTGAAGTCGAGGTGAGAGCTGCGGAGTAGATCGGCAGCATCCAACCACCACTTCGCTGCTGGGTGGAAATCGAGGACACCTGGGTGTGAGTAGTTGACCCCGTACTCGCTGGGCATAAAGCGCTTTACCGAGCCAGAATCGATTGCTGCTTGGATGAGATTCATCTGAGCTTTCGCGCTTTCTTCAGTAAAGAGCGCCAGCGCAGATATAACAACTTCGACGTTGTGTTTCTGGAGAGACTGCTTGATAGACGCTACATCCTCGTAGTCTGCTTCGATTACCCGTACGGACTCAAGTCCTGGTATCTTGTTAGCCTAGACTTTTGTTAGCAACTCTTCTGCAGGGTTGACAAATTCCCGTGTTTGTACCTTTCGGCTCAAGATCAGAACTTGGTGTTTGTCTTGACCAACAAGTTCTTCAACGATTGTTCGGCCCACGCCACCGGTACCTCCAGCGATTGCTACAGTGACCATGTCTGGAGATTGATCGAATACGTGTAATGGGGATGACTTGTTGTGAGCTACGAGAATAGGTGGTGATTGACGATGTCAATTGAACAGAAGTAAAGTGATTTCTGGCCGTCTAAGCACTCCACAGCTTGACTTATATGGTCAGCCAGTGGGCAAAATCCGGTCGGAAGCCCCGTCGCTGTACTATGCGTGTTGTAAATCAGCCTCCACGTATCTTGGCACGGCGGCACGAAGTTGATCCTAGAAATCGATGGAAACTGCGCCCTTCGTCGGCATGGGGTTGGAAGCGGGGCGTAAGGACTTGGCGCCTCAGCTGTGATACATGACATCAGTCCTACAAACTATGGAATGGTTGACCCAAGTCCTGATGATTGTATTGCGGTACCATGGCGGACATACGGACATTCCGAAAGTGCGCAAAGTAGCAGTGTCAGCTTCAGGACGCGATGGGTACATCTTGCTAGCTGTATGCAGGCGTAGTCTACCGTGTAGAACCGGAGTCCGCGGATCGCCGATGTTTGTACCGTCAAGCTAGGCTGAGTTGACGGGTGCTCTTCAGGCGTTCAGCCAAGTACTTTTTTCCAATTACCTCCCGACTTTGCGTATTGATGACAAACTGCCATGCTTCCTGCAGCGCGATCCTTCACGCCAACGCTGCTTGTAATACGTACAAGTCTTCTTAAGACCTGTGGATTTGTCATATCCCGAACAGTTCCCTATATTGCGGGGACTCTGCCAATGCCTTGGAGCTGCTGGAAAGCTCCATCAATCATACCTCACAAGCTGCGCGTGTTACACCGAAAAACATCTGATTAGGGTGTACTAAACACGATCAATGCGAAAGCAGAGTGAAGAACAAAGCCTATGACGCGCGCGCGCGATATATTACACACCGCAGAAAGGATTGCCATCCAGGTGCAGTGCGCCATGGCCGTCAATTGTTTCAAGGAGCAGGTCAGCCATCCATTTTGAGAACCATTTGTTGCTTTAACGTTCCTACATATCATTCAAATCGACGATGTCACTACTAGAAGTTCATATTGATCTCCTGGAATTCAATTGTCACTGTGAAATCTGTGTCTGTATTATCCATAAATACTAACCAACATGGTCAGCTTCCACTTCCTCGTATTAGTCAACTCTCACAGTCTAGCATCCCAGGTTCGAGAGATCATTGAGTCCTCATACCTCATTTCAGCAAACACGGATCTCTACCACAGTCAATATGCTGCCATTTCTCCTGACAACCTTCTTAAAGGACAGGATCCTCAATAAAACCTTCTTCGTCTTCCTCTTTACCTTCATCTCTCTCATCATCTATCTCTTCATCCTCCTGGGCTGCATAAGCAAGGGCGTGGGAATCGAAAATCTATATTGGGTCATGATATCGCAGAACGGGACTGCTGGTCAGCTACCAGTTGAAGTGAGGATAGGGTATTTTGGTACGTCTTTGCTTTGGTTTGGCTCTCTGAGCGTGGAAATTGCCGCCAACATTGATTTGAGAGTGGCTGACATACCACAGGCATGTGCGCATCCTTCCCACCAAATGCCACAATGCCAAATGACAGACAGATTCCTGCACCATTAGAATGCTTCCCAGGTGATACACCACCGGGCCTTTCCAGCATACCGATGGAGCATCCCGTCCTTTCTTCTGCGCTGACACTCCAGAAGTCCGCTCTATATCCTCTCCCTGCACTCGCTTCATCCCTCTACCTTGTGTCTCTGATATATTATTTCATATTTCGCGAACGAGGCGGCCGTAACGAAAAGATTTCCAAGTTCCTTTTAGGGGTCAGTGCAGCGCTTGGGGTTGCTGGAGCATTGTGTGCCATGTCTAGTGCGAAGGCGTTGCATGAGATAGGAATTTTGCTAGGACATCATGCGGTTGGTGGTGGAGAGGGCGAAGTGACTATTCAAGCCGGAAGTTGGGAGGGAGCTGGACTCTGTGTCGCAGCTGGCATCCACTTTTTTATTGTAATATATGCGGCATGTGGAATGCCCGTTTTTGATCTGGGGTTTGGTAGGGGATACATCGGAAAGAGGTTTCTGTAAACTGAACAAGATGGATCCTTCTGTGGTAAAATAAAGAGATGCGTGCTACAGTGGCAAGATCGGTGTCCTGTGCATGCAATTAGTAGTACAGAGATTCGTAACTCGCGTCAATATCCAAATTTGTGTAACATGGGTGATCGAAGATTCCGGGGTTTGGATTGAAGAATATCAAATACTGTCGAGCCCGTTCCCGAGTGTGCCCGCAACACCATGAACGCCTCGCCAAGGAAACCCTCGTGCCTGGGGATGCCGTTGCGCTTATAACAGAGAAAGCGCTTAGAACTGATCGAGGGTCATGCTCATAGAGACGTCGGTGTTCTCAACCATCTTGGTGAACTCCTCGAAGCTGATCTTGCCGTCGCGGTCTAGGTCGGCCTCCATAATGGTCTTGTCGACGATCTACGTGCACGTTAGACTCGTGCGCTGTGCAGCTACCGGCTCACCTCATTGTACGTACCTGTTGCAGCTGCTGGTCCTTCAGGTTGCTTCCGACCATCATCTTCAGTACTATGAAGAGCTCGCCGTTGCTGATGTAGCCGTCGCGGTCAATGTCGTATACGCGGAATGCAAAGCGCAGCTTCTCCTCCTTGTTTCCCTTGCTGCTGAAAGCCGAGAGACCGGAAACGAACTCCTGGAAGTCGACGTCGCCGCCACCGTCCTCGTCGAAGATAGCGATCATGCGTGTTGCGAGAGGGTTGGAAGAGATCTGGGGGAGTGCTAGGAATTCGTCGCGCTCAATGGTGCCAGAGTTGTCCTGGGCTGGAATTAGCCAAGCGGTCCAGAAGCCCTATACGTCCTTGGTCGCGCACCTTGTCCAGCTTCATAAATCGCTTCCTTAGGCGGTCAACCTCCTCGCGGTCGACTATGTGCTGTTAGCAAGCATTTCTCAGCCCCGCCAGCGCTCTGTCGAGCACGCCGTCGCTCTGGCTGCCTACGTACAGTTGGACCCGGAGGCTATGTTGTCGAGCAGCCCGGACTGTTGGTTACCCATTTCGGCGGTTGGTCTGGGGTAAGAATTGCGTGGTGGAGGATGTTGGCGTGGCTCAATGTCGTGGGGCTGCTTGGTCGCCGCCGCTAGGGTCCAGCTGCGCTAAAGGCAGGCACCGTTCCCCGACGTCAATCGCCAAGACTATACATTCACTCC